ACTGGCCATTGTGAAGACCCTACCAATTATATCCATGTGACAGTGGAACTACATTTGCTAGTGAGCAGAGTACAACAGACGATGATCAGTCTATGAAAAATCCTAATCCTAGATATTTTACATAGAAGTCTACATTTCAAAACTAGGAAAAACCCTCATGGTCGTTGCTTACCTGTTACATAATTATATTTTTTAAACTTTTTGTCATGGTAACAACATTAATGAAGGACTTATAATGTATCGATTCCGTGCTATCAAACGCAGATGTTGTGTTTTGTAAATTAGACAGATTTAAAAAAAAAAAAAAAATTCAAGAAATAATTTTCGGATGCTCTGTTAACGTGTTTTTTGTATGTCGATTATCTTTTTAAACGATTACAAACACACCCTAAATTTTTACCATTTCAATGGTGCCAACAGGGTGACAAGCATGTAGTTAATACTTGGTATCATTTGATTCACTGTTATTTTTGGGCCATAATGGAGCAAGTTAAGATTTCAAATCCCAATATACTACACAAACTATGCATGAAATGAGAAGTGGGTGACAAGAAGATCATTCACACTGCAAACTGATTTCCAATGGACCACCTAGAATGCATTTGGATCAATGCTCGAGTCTTGATGTGCACCAAATTATCCAACTTGTTCTGATTTTAATTATATCTCCAATTTGAAATAGAGGACAGAGCACTGAATTGCATCACCTACACAAAATGTTGCAAGCATATAGCTGTGGTCCAATCCTTCAAGATAAGATGAGCACAACTCTTGAATTTTGTGAGTTTCACAATGGGACCGCCAGATCCAACGGTTAAACTTATAACATTTCCCGTGATGAGAATGAATATTTCTACCTACGACATGCAGGTCTTTATTTGGGAGAGTTGAATTCGAGACATTTAAGCATAGATATGTGGTCCAATCCTTCAAGATATGATGAGAGAGAGCGGTGCTAAGCACATCCCTTGAATCTTGCGAGTCTCACAGTGGGGCCCACAGATCCAACGGTTGTGTTTGTGCAATCGCAACTACATTTATAGCATTTCTCGTGATGACAATGAATATGTCCACCTATGCAATAGGCATGTCTTTATTTAAACGAGTTGAAGTTGAACTCGAGACGTTCATTTTTTTAAGAGATGTTTAACCAAAGCCACTTATATTCTCAAGATTAGTGATGACCACCATATCACTGTCATTATGGTACATGCTGAAGAGTCCATTCTAACCCAAATCTGAATTTATATGAGGGCAGGAAAGAAGTGTGAGTGGGAAGTTGGGACCAATTGAATTCAAGTGTGTGCAAGAGAGATGGGATGGTATATGAAAAATGAATAGAGAGGGAGAGCCCAAATAGACAATAAATGGCGGGCTCTTTTACAAGTCTTAATGCTCTACTAGATGGGTAGCAAGAGCTGGGTGGAAATAATATTCATGTCCAGTAAAGAAGGGACCAAAATTGTACCTTGAAGAGGTCTCACCACCCTTGTGATGGACATACAACCAAACCCTGCTTTCATTTCACATCCGACATTATCAGCAACCACATTTACCCCACTGTGTGTGAAATAAAGAGGTGAAATTGTGTGGGTGGGTCCCAGTGGGGCCTGATCACCACCATAGAAAGCCTGCACTGCCTCATGTGGTCCATTGATGTTTCACTAGTGTGGACAAGATCTAGCACCATGCATCATGGATCATGAGGAGTCAACAAAAATATATTCCCCTACATCATGTGGCTGAGGTTGCTTCTTGGATTTCAATCACTCTTGATGCAAAAGCACCACCATGACTTCACACTCTCCTTCAATCATTCATTTTCCAAATTGGCCTGGAAAGAATATTACCTGTAACAAAAGAGGTTAGAGTATACAACAAGCAAATGAACTCAACATGATCACCAAGTCATTGGTATAGCTAGGACTCCCTAAATTCATTTTCCTTTCCATTTTCTCTGAAACTTACCAGAAATGAGAAGCAGAAAAAAGGTTCAAAAGTGGAGGGAACAAATTTACGAAGAAAAAATATCAACTTGAATTAGGGGTGACAATTCGTGTTCGTGGATCATAATCGTGTTATGTCGATATAAGGGTATTATATTAAACAGGTAAACCCAAACTTAACCAATTTAATAATCGTGTCAAAAACTCTCAACACTAATCCAACCCGTTTATTAAACGGGTAAACGTATTAACCCGTTTAATAATCTGTTTATCAAAACGAGACATTTAATATTTAATCAAATAATACATAATAGAAAATTTTGTCACAATTAACTCAAATATTCAAAATACGAAGAAAAATCATAAGGCGCAGACAAGATTTGTGTTGAAATGACTTCACTATTCATAGTAATTAGGTTTAAACACATAACATATTACATAGATCATATTTACAATTATAACATATTGAGTTAAACGGGTCATAAACGGGTTATATGGGTTGAACCCCTCAACCCTAACCCTACACGGTTAAGTAAACGGATTAATTGTGTTAACTCGTTTATGATCAGAACCTATTTAAGGTCAACTCAAACCTGCTTATCTCGTGTCGTGTTGACGAATTATGTCGTAATTTGCCACCCCTAACTTGCTTTATCAGCACCTTGTACTAATGTCCAATAGTGCCTATGGAGTTCTATTGTAATTGACAGAGTGGAATCCATGCAAGTTCATAAATGAAACAAGTTTGAATTCAAAAAGATTAGAGAGAGAGAAACAAATCCCTTTCGTTTAGCCTTCGATAACGATTCCGAAATATAATTTGCCCAAATATGGACTCACCTTACAAGAAAAGCTTGTGTGTATTGATTGTTGCATTGTTTCTCATCAAGAATAGATCTTCGCAGGTCAAAAAATCGAAACTACATTGACAAATGTGTCAGCATGCCTCGATCCAAACAAGCCATGTAATATTTGACAATCAGTTTTAGATGATCACTAATTTAGTATTTGTATTATTATCTTTGATGAGAAGTCATGGTTCCAGTTTTGTTTCAGCCTGGGTCGTGTTGTGACCCCGTTCTAACCTAAAAAATGTGACTTTTATTTTTTTCTTGCCGGTCGTGGACCAAATTATAGAATTATCTTGTAATCCAATGCATAAGGACGTCTAGGAGAGAACACGGGTAGCAGTAGATTACAGAGTGTTAGGAAAGAGAGGGTTTGGATGCTGCAACTTGTAATATTCTTTTTTGACAGAGTAAATTATTTCTGTCTTCGTTGTGGACGTAGACTTTTTGGTCAGATGTCTTAATTGTGTTCTTAATACTATGTGCTACCATAACTTTGGGTATGTAATATTTTGTCCTTGAACTCTTTAGTTACGCATGCACAAAGGCACTAACTTCATTATTTTTCTCGAATGAGTTCTATATATCACTTTGTCCCTAAACTTTTAATTAATATAAGCAAGTCAATTAATAGCTATGACGGTAGTTGAAAGTAAAAACATGGTTATTACATATAATGACACATAATGGCCCAAGGCCACCCCGACATTTTTTTACCTTCAAAAATGATTTTTCACTCCTTAAAAACATCACCTTTATGGATTGGAATGTGAGACCATTATTTTGATCAGGCCTTTAATTATGAATTACATGTCCATCAGTTTGTTCTGCCAGTGTAGTCTCCACAGTTAAATCTACTCATTTGCTATAATGAATCTTGTACTCTGTTTAATATAGGTCCCAAAGTTATTTTTTTATTTATTTATAATTATTGGGTAATTCATGTAAATTTATTAAAGGAAGAACTATACAAAATGTACAAGAACAACGACACTCTCAAAAGACCTGAAGCAAAAAAAGCAAAAAACAGAAAAATAAAAAACTTAAAAAGCAAAGCACTGCTAACAAACTCCGGTAAGGCATCAGTAAAATGTGTTTTAATCAAATGTTGGAATTGGACAGACAATCGGGTCATTAAAAGTTTTTGACTTAGTTACAGTAAGTATCATCGAAGACAACAATAAGATCTTTTCTTGGGATCTTAGACAATCTAAAATTTCATCATTTCACACTTGTAAAAAAAAAAATCATTTAATTAAAAAAAAAAAAAAAAGAAGACATTTTAGTGACTTTGGTGAAAAGGGTGCATGGAGTTATCATGCAGTTAGGTGGTGAAACAAAAGTCATTACCCCCAACAATGTAGACAACTCAATTACTGAAGATATGTAATTACTAGTGTCATTAAAGTTCTTTTGTAGATGCTACACACAGTCATTGAAGTTCTTTTGTAGATGCTACACAAATGGGGATTGTCAGAACTCAAGGTCTACTGAATGACTATACATGCATATGTAATTAAATTCTTGTATTTCAGTCACTGAATCCATCATGTGTGATCTTCTTAATTGTAAATGTTAGCAGTCAGACACCCTTCCTCTTAATGTAATTCCAAAATGTATATATATAGAAACTATATGCATAGTTATGTGTGTGTGTGTGTGTGACTGTGTGTGTGTGTGTGAATGTGAGTTGAAAGACATGCATGAAGTGAAGAACTTGAGAAAATGACTATAAGATGAGCCACATTAAACTTTCTTTCCTCATAAACAATCAGACAAACCACTATGTTTTTTAATATTCTACTCGAGTAAATAATAAAAACAGTCCAACATGCCAAATGATCAAATCATCTACTCCATATTCACATAATTTCATAGATCTTAATTTGACCATGAAATAATAGTCACTTTCCAACAGATTGGATCCCTTCAGATCTACTATACTATATTAATTATGCATTTCCAGAAACAATTATAAGATCATATCATTGACCAATATATACACTAAAATAGTGTACATACATATATATGATATATATATAAAAGTGTACTGTTATGTAAGAGTGAACATGGATGGGACCACGACTATTCATTAAAATTCATAATAAGTAAATAATAATAAAAAAACACCACCAACCTGTTGGGAATTTTTAAGAATAATGGATGGGTGACCCACTGCTGTTAAAACCTTCCCATGTGTCTGCCTTGCTAGAGAATGGGGTCTACAAATAAATAAATATCTTCAGCAACCTTTTCTGATTATTTATACTTTTATAGTAATGTATATGCTAATACAGAAAATTAATTATAAGATTTTATAAAATTAAAAAAAAAAATTAAAAATCAGTCATTGGTACAATATTTATAATCAGTCATTGCTTATATATGTTGGAGCTTCCTTAGACCACCTCCTTCTGTCTTCCTCTCACACATATGTGTGTGTATGCATATAGGGGAGAGAGAGAGAGAGAGAGGTTTGAAGGAGAAGCAGATTGGATTCTACTGCAACTGGAGGAGGCATCCAAAGGGATCGCATTGATCCTAACTATCTCTTTGATCAAAATTATGTTTTATATATATATATATATATATATATATTTTCTAAGCTCGTATCGAATTTGGATCATGCTATCCCTTCGGATACATCCTTTAGTAGCTTCTACCATGGTGCAATCTCATTTCTGAAATCCATCGGAATTCATTCCCGAACTCAACGGAGAAAGGTTCAACCTTCGAAACATACCAGAGAGAAAAAAACTACATTGCAAACATCTTCAAACAAGTAAGTACTCTTTAAATTCTCCAAGGTAGCATAAAATTAAATTTATCTTATATAAAATACTAACAAGCTCTATATAAATTAGTTTCATCCCAAAACTAAAAGTAAAAAACTTATATTTTTAACTTCCATGTAAGAAAATATTTTTAAATTTATCATTCATATTCCATTTGTGTTTTCTAGTACCATATTTTGCTATTTTTGAGTGGAAGTTCAAACCTCAAAACAAAATCCCATATGAATTAATATCATCCCAAAATTCTAGCATAAGGCTGGACTCTATCTAGAAAATGGAGATTAGCTTTGGGAAAAGTTCCGAGTTCACTTATCATTGTTGTTGCTTATAGTTGTGATGAAGAAGATATATTTTTGCTTCACTGTTTTGTATATATATTGGTACTTCTTTAATTCAAATTAAATTTAAAGTTGGAAGTTGTATTTTCTTCTTCTTCCCAAGCAATATGTAACAAAAGCAATAGCTTTGAGTGAAGATGAAGGATGAGTTATATATACATCTGTAGAAGATCTGCTGAATTAAGCCTCTTTATTTTTATTTTTTTGTCTAAATCTTCTCTTATTTTATATATAAATTAATTAATGCATATACAAGCATAAACCACCAATTCATATACATACATATATGTTTTTTGCATACGTACAGACATACATACATGTGTGTGTGTGTGTGATGACATAGAAATTTAGTTATTGGGATAATCCTGTTTGTGGACCTTGATATCAACAGTAAAGCAAGATGAAACTAGCTACTTGCAACCGATGAATGGAATAGTAATATAGTGTGAGAAAATGATGTTCACGTGTGTTAAGTGAGATATTACCCCCATTTCATAACCCTAGATCATCACAACTGCAGTGGGTGACAGTGATGAGAACTGATTTAATTTTAACTGAGCTAGGTCACAATGTACCCTACCTTAATTAACTTTTAATCATTATATACTTCTATGACTAACGGTGAGGGAAGCTAGTTTTTACATTTGTGAAGTGACAAATTACCCCCATGTTTGAAACTTTTTTGATCATTACATAATTCCAACAAACTTGATTTCATCTTTATAAAAAGTAACTTTTGCCGAAAATGTTTTAGCAGTACTACAATTAATAACCGGCCTTCTGGTTCCGGTCTAGCCTCAAAAAATCCACAGCCATTCCTAAAGGGGATGTTTAAAATTCTAAAAAAATCTCACCAGTGCACTTGTAGAACCCCTAAAGTTCGGTGGTTTTTTTTTTTTATCCCGGAAATTTAGAACTCCTAGAGTTTGGCAAATTTTCAACCATCAAAACCAGTGGGGAAAATGTTACACATTCTGATAAATTGCTCTTTTACATTTGCCAAACATTAGTAGAAAATGCATTATATTTTCCCAAACAACCTTTAAAGCAAGAAGTCTGAGTTGAGGAGTCCTAGAACAGACTATAGCATATATATGGCCATACTGTGGGGACTTTATTTAGAATCCAAGGCAGTGAAAGATGTATTTAAGGGCTTCTTTTTTCAACTTTGGAGCTCACAATGAGTGCCCCAAAGTCAAAGGAATCACATACTACATGTGCTGTGACCTTAAGAAAGTCCTTTAAACACAGTTCTAATCTAGAAATAAAGGGCTCTCTTTTATGATATCTCTTATCACATGAATTCAACTTTTAACAACTTCTCTCAATGTGAACCCTCTTTGTCACATGGCCCCAACGTTTCAACAAATTATTCCCATTATATTTTATATTTTGTAAATGCATATTATTACCTTCTGCATTCTATAACAATATGAGCTAAAACTATTATAGGTATTCTGGGGGGAAAAAATTGTAGGCACCAACGATATGCAGCAAAGGTGAGAAAGAGAATCCATATGGCCAACCCCATTCGTTTAGAAAAAAGACAAGGATGATGATGACATCATGATGGTATGCAGCAAAGGTGAAAATTAGTTAACATGTCCGGATTCAAACCCTTAAATGCTCTATATAAAGGAGCAGTACGTTGTAACATTATACTGAAATTGTGGACTAGTAGAATTGTGATTGGAACATTACCCAAAATCTAGATTGATTTTATTATGACAACTCACAATTTCCTTTTTGTAAATCATAGTTATGGTAGTTCATGTTGAAGCAGTAGAACTTAGTTAAAGAACAAGAAGTGAAAAGTGGTTTTGAATGAAATGGAAAGCCTATAGAGAAACTGTGTTGAAACTAATTAATATGAAAATTTCGAAAAAATTTGTGGTACTATGGTAAAGCCATAAACCAAAGTTTAAACTTTGGGGAATCCTGTTTTCTCCAAGGTTCATCAAAAATGTGCTTTTCCAACCTTAAATTTACCCGGCAACCAGGGCTTATTTTAGGCTTCTATTGTAAAAATGGCTTGCTTGAACCAGAATTCAGACCTAGAATGACTCAATGCCTTCATAATAACCAAAAGAGGAAAACAAAAACTGGGCTCAGTTATGTAAATTATAATAGGAAAATAGTTCATCTGTACCTGTACCAAAGCTTCTGAAATGGGTCCCCAAAATTCACCATAGGGGAGAAGATCTCTGCTTCAGTTTAGCAGCTGTAATGTTCTGAAGATTGAGACCTTTAAGTGTCAGCGTAAATTTGCACAAAATTAATTTCAGAATCAGAATCAGCGGCTTCAATATTTTACTTTATTTTTATTTTTGTTTTAGGACTGTAGAAAATGATTAATGAGTGACACCTCAAGCGAAAAATGTAGGAAAAGTTGGCAATGTAAATATAGTTTATTTTGTTGCTAGCAATATAGATTTACATGGAATTAAGTGTTTGATGAAATCTGCCGGTTCAGACCTAAATGAATCTGTAGGATATAAGGGTTTACATTTGTACTGATGACTGATATTCATATTTTCTTTATGAATGTTGCTGAATTATTTACATTCTCCATCAAAATTTATCAGAATAATAAAAACTTGTAAACATTAGTCAAATTTATATTTAGACAGACAGGAGGAGGAAGAAAGTAATAAATGGCTCAAATCTGAATTCAAGTACCTAAATCTAAGTTGTCAAACTCCATGTAAAAAAAAAGGATTGCATCATAATGTTGTTGGGCATGTGTGCTTTGTGCCTAGACCATTTTCTCTTTAGCTAAACAAAAGATAGTGGTTTTATTTTCCAACTTCAAATAAATTAAAAACCAAGTAATACAATGAGATAGGGTCTTGGGGTCAGACCAAAGAATTTTCAGACACTAGCGTACAAAATGTCCTCATGTTCCCCTCTTGTAATACAGAAGCTTTTGTGAAGGATCACAGGAACACAAACTGCCAAAGAAGAACCCTAGAAATGAAATTTTCAAGTTCAGAAGGATTGATGCTCCTTGCTGTGGGGGGGAGGGGTGTGGGGGCTAAAACCCCTTCCCCTGCTGCCTCCATATCAACACCTCAACCCAATTTCCTTCCCACTATGTGAAACTCAAAATTTCTGCCACAAGTGAGATCAAGAAGAATTCAATTGAGATCTACTAGAAGTAGGTGAAAATGTTTTCCTATATGTCAATTTTATAGTCTCTTTTGTGCATTATCTAGCTAATCAATCATAGACAACTATTTCTTCTAGATAAAGTACTGGATTTGGCTAGGGTTAGATATAAATACGCAGCCTTGCCTCCGCATGATTTCCAGGTCACAATGAAGTGACTATACCATTGCACCAAGGCTCGCCCTCTATGAATGTACTATGCTTCGAAACATACTCCGATCAATGATAGAATGAAGAGCGGTTTATCAGACTACCAGCGTAGAGGTCTAAGCTGATGGCCCCCCAGCCTTTGAGTTACCCTCAAGATTTTCCGGATGCCTTGATCAATCAAGAGGAGAATGATGCAGGGTTGTGACAATACCATGAACTGGTGGACCATAATAACATTATTCTTTTCAACTAAGCAAAGGGGAAGGCCAGTGGAAACTGTTGGGACATTTAAGAATCAAGAACCCCAATTCAATAAGGGGGAAGGTATGGACAAAGCTGCTGAGTCCCTCCACTAGGCGTCCAACACAATCTACATGGTGTCCTCTGCACCATTATAGTATCTTGGACTGACTTCAACACCATATCTACCTCTTTAAAGTGGGAGCGAATCAACAGCCAAAACCACATGAGCCCCATCTGAAATAATTGTGTCTTTAAGATCAAAGGGGATTTGGTTCTCGAGAAAGTCCAAGGTTTTATCAATCACTAATGCCCTATGGGATATGATTGGCTAAACTCTATTTGTTTCCAGTTACTCCAATTTGTTCATTTCGATGAATCTATGGGTTAGCAATATGGCAATGATGACTGTGACAGCAATAGTGTGCCCTCGGTGGAGCTCATGTTGGCACAATGGTGGGGATTAGCTTATCATCATATGGTGGCAGTAATTCTGGGGGAGTTTTTGATACAGAAATTGTTAATTTATTGGTGGCTGTGATACTTGATATGTTTGATGAATATTTGACAGTTAAAAGCTATAAATATATTCCTTAGTACTAAGAGTTTTGGATTGAATTTGTACAGACTATATATCCAGATAACACTAGTTCAGAAGTAGCCAGCATTCAATAAATTAATATATTCAATGTGACAACAAGAACAAGTCCAATGATATTTATTTTAAGCAGAGCAAAAGGAAAAACACCATAAGAACAATGCCACTCTGATTCCACTCCTCTAACATGCACAGTTGAGGTGGAAAACAATGAAGCACAAGCATAAGAGGGCAGACAAACTGTACTCCGAGAAAACAGTGGAAACATTGCATCAAGCTTCTTGAACTTCTGGGTTATTTGTGCTTTCAATTGTCTTCTTCGAGTTTGGAATGCATCTCCAATAGTGCTAGTGAACCCCACTCATATTCTTCGGCGTACCAGCAACTGGCATATTTGCACCTGCAGGAATGCTTAACAAATGAACTCTCAGCACTCATGACTTAGAATACTAACATACTGATACAAATGAAAGCACATAGCAGTGTGTGCAATTATTGAGACACAAAAGCCCTCTGGCTTGACATTTTTTCTGGGTAATCACTTAAGATAAGGATCAAATTATGATAACCCTAAAATAGTAAGACCATGTTAAATTAATGGCACACCAAGTATTTGAAAAAAAAAAAAAAAAAAAAAAAAATACAAACAAACACACACACACACACATATCGAAAAGGACCTCCTTTCATAGGATCTCTCCACATATCCAGAGAATTGGAAATTCTGTATGGGGAAATGAATCAAATAATTGGTCTGTCAAACCGGTATTTCGAAATCAAAGCATGCTACTGCAGAGTGGCTGTACAATAGTTTGTGTTGGGTATCAAAACAATATTATCACTTGGATAACTCTATCCGGATTGCACCATTCTTTTAGTATTATGATGCTTTTCAAGGTTGATAATTCTTGCAGCACTGGAAAGTAGATTGTAATGATTTTTAGTGAACAATGTAAAACCGTAACACAATTGAACAAAAAAAAATGGCATATAAGTGTGTGTTTGTGTGTGTAGGAGTGAATGGGGAACCTTATAGAGGTTGATTTTGATATTCCATTCAGTTCATTTCATATATAAGTTTCACTTCCTTCAATAAAAGTTATTCGGACCTAATAATCAAACTTAACATGATAAATGCATTGGATAAAAATTTTAAACTCATTTAATCTATCTAAGGAAAAAAAATCAGGATTGAGAATCGTCCTTCATAAAAGTAACAAATCAACTTTAGAAAAAATGAAAGTTATTAATGTGCAGCGATTTCCTCGATACGTTGTCGTTTCAGGTCCTGCTTTTGAGTACTACTGAGGATTGCTAGATCTATTTTCACCGCATACAGCTCAGTCAGTACCTGAATATCTGTACCATCTTCAGCTCACAAACCCTAATTAATCACCGTCGATCATGTCGTCATCGTCTTTGTTCAGGTACTTTATACCCTCCCATGCCCTTATTTTCTCTTTCCTAACCCTAATTTCGGGACCCATTTTCTCATTTTCATTCCCGGCACTCCAAAACAACCCTAACTTCGACTCCAACATTGCCCTCTTCGGCGACGCCGAGATCGTCGATGGCGGTTCTTCCGTAAAGCTCACTCGCCCACTGGCTTCAAGCTTTGGGCTTGTAACGTACAACAAACCCTTCAAGTTCCTCGAACCACAAACTACCTCTCCGACGTCGTTTTCCACTGACTTCACCTTCTCAATCTCACCCGAGAACGGCGATGGCCTCTCTCTAATAGTTTACCCCACTCATTCCGCCTCCAAATTTTCGGGGAAAACCTCTTTCGGGCTTTCTCAGGAAATTAGGTTTCTGGGAATCGAATTCGATACTTCAATGGATGCTGCTGTAGGTGATGAGAATTCAAATCATGTGGGAGTCGATGTGTGTAGTCTTGTGTCTGCTAGAATCAGTAATGTTTCCTCTGTTAATTTGGTTCTGAACAGTGGAGTGAAATTAAGGTCATGGATTGATTATGATGCCAGCTCAAAAAGGTTGGAAGTTAGGTTGAGTGAATTGGGTGGTGTGAGGCCATATAAACCATTGCTAACATATCCAATTGATTTGTCAGAAATGTGGAAAGGGGAAGAGGTTTTTGTGGGTATAAGTTCATCTAGTGGCAATTCATCACAGACTAGCAGTGTGTATTCATGGAAATTTAGGGTAAGGAATGTCCAGAGTTGGATGCATTCTCAACCGGTTGATCCACGGGGATATTCTAAACCAGGCAGTGAGCAGAAAACAGCCCACAAGAAAAGCTTTTGTCCTTTGGGAATTCTGCCAGGATTGCTTTTTGTGATAGGGTGTGGCGCATTGGTGGCATTTTCTGTGATGTTTCTGTGGACGGTGTCTGTTAGGAAATACACGATGATTCCAACTTCGCATTCTGCGTGCCCCGTGAATTTCAGGTATGAAAAGATCAATGTAGTTGTAGAAGATAGCTCAGAAGATGTTAAGAATTAGGGTTTCAAGCTGTGTTTGTGCTTTGAATTTGTGTTCTTTGTACTGTTGGTATGAATTTAAATACAATGTGCCATGTACTTTCTATTGCACATTCTAATGAATGGAAGCCACTTGTTTTATGTATCTATAATCTGTGTTGTGCCCATTGTTTTTTTAAGATATAAACTGTCGATGAAATTGAATTCCTTGCAATGCTATGGCCATTAATATTTAAAGCAGTTGGGTTGATTTTCTTACTTTTATATTTTTATTATTATTCCTAATGTGAAGCCTGGAAGAAGCATTAAACATTAGCTTATAAAAAAGAAAAAAGTACAGCCTGGTTGATAGAAAGTTCAGGAGCTTATATAGTCAGTGGCTCATAGCCAATTAAAGAGTTGGGGCAATTCTCCATGATTGATTTGAAATCCAGGGAGCAGCAAAGTTATCCACACAGTGCACAGAGTAGGTGCCTTCTAATAGTAGAGAAGCATTGAATCTCTAACGTAACAAGAAACATTGAGTTCAAATTAATAATTTTTACATGGAATGTGAAAATATTTAGAAACAGAGGCAAAATACAAGAAGAAAAGAGCAAAGATTAGGTGCCATTGGTGTAGTGGCAAAGGTTCGGTAATCAAACTTGAGAATGCAAACTTGAGTTTATGGGTAGTCAATGGTTGCAAATAATATTAAAGGTTAGGTTTGTACCTGATCTACCCCACACCTTTGATTAAAGGGGACCACAATGGGTAATGGCATTTATGTTGCTTTAGTATCATATATTTATATAGTTGTTTATTCAATCACCAGGAAGTTATATCTTTTTGTTTTATTTTTATGCCATCAATGGTCATAAACTTTTCTCTTTAAAACTGATTATGGAACAGAACATCACACTTCCGTTTTCTGTACTTCTCTTTTTCTTTTTCAAGTTCTTTATTTTGATTATTGGCCAGATGTTTATGCTCCGCAAGGGTTTGAGCAAATTCTCTATTTTTCCTTTTGCTGATTGTTAATTATAATCTGTGTGCCAAAAATGTTATAGTAACGTTGTAAAGTGTTGGCATGATATTTAAAAAGGAGGGTTGGAGTCATGCGTTGATTATTACCATTGATCACAATTGTTACCATTGTGTCCACAGACACACATGATTTTTTGCATGCCTGCTTGCTTATCATGCATGTCATCTTGATCTAGTCTTCCAATGTTCACATAATTGTTTGTATCGTATGAGATATTGCTTTATTTTTGCTCTCTGTTTATCTATCACTATAGCAGTTCATACACTAGCATTTTCAAAAATAAATATGCGAGAAAATTATATGAGTAGTTAGAGGCATGTAAAATCATGATTGAAGATATTTACACTTTTTTTCTCTATATAATTGAATATCTCATTGATAGCACCATCCCTGTGATTCAATTAACTATGAATTTTCTGTACATCTAGAGTTGTTATTTGCTTTTAGGTTTGGCATTCTCTAATAGGTCAACCCAAGGTAAATAGTGGCCTTTAGTAAATTATTCCATAACTGCCATTTTCTAGTTTTTAATATAATTCACTGGTGGTAGAACCCTTGTTCCCCAAGGGTAAATGCAAATAGACACATGCAGACCAAGACCTGAACCCAAAATAATTAAGACCTTAAATATTCCTTTTCAATTCAATAACAGAGGAAAATTAGCTATTCAAAATGATATCGGGGAACTACATTAATTGAGAGGACTTGCTGCGCATTCAAACCCTACACTGCACTTGACGTGGGCTGTCCATCAGGTCAAGTTGCTCCAGATTAAGGTTTGCCTTTTGCCTTTCCTCATTACATTTAGGCCTCCATGATATAATCATTTAGGCCTTATTTGAACTTAAGCCAAAATGCCAGGACGACGAATTTATCCTCTCTAAATCATCTTTTTCAGGCTAAATCATGGCCGATTCAGAATCAATACATAAGTTTTATACAATAAGCCTTGAGTTTCAAGCATACTTGTGCGTCTTTTTAGTTTTGAGCAATGTATCTGAATCACCAATAATCTTTAAAATTCACCTGTTGTGCTTTTGAGGAATGTCCTGCAGTCAATATTACTTGGGAATACATCTTTTTTCCTATGGTCCAAGCATACGTGGATTCTAGTATTCAGTGAGTCATGTATCAACTTAGTTGCCAAATGCCCATAGAGACGGAATATTTCTGTCGTAAGTTCTTACATTAAATATCATAAAGAAAATGCTCTTCCTTTTCCTAAACAAAATGATAGAGACTGGTGGTATGTAGACTTATGCCTTGAAATAGTATTATCCGAGCTAATGAAAATGGCAAGACATTAAATTTGTGGTGGTATGTAGACTTATGCCCTAACACGGTATTATCCGAGCTGATGAAAATGGCTAGGCATGAAATGGAGAAACACAAAGTGAGATTTGCATCAAAGTAGCATCAATACTTCGGTTTCTTTTAGCAACTGGACCCATATTGAGAATTTGGGATGCAAAGAGAATTAGTACTGATTACAGGTAATTTATATTTAATGTCAGTTGGGTATCATTCCTATTCCATACAATATTCAGAGAGTGAACAGCCTCACAAAGTGGCATAGTGTTGTCCCAATTACCAGCATTCTTTATCTAAACTATTGAACATTATGAGATTCCTCATTCATTTTTTTTTTTTTTCCCCTCCAACTACCAGCATTCTTTATCTAAACTATTGAACTTTATTTAGATTACTCATTGATTTTGTTTTGGTGGAAATCTATTCTTGATGGGAACTGACATCATTCCGGTCAAGGCACAAGGTTATTATATTGAACCCAAAAGTTTAGTGGCATTGAAAGGTTATATTCTCTACATAATCAATTTGTGGATGTATGAGTCTTGCCTTGTTTTATTTGAACAGATGTAGCTTTGTTTTTGTTTGTTTGAATTGCCCATTAGCTGTGATGTTATGGGGGAGAGAAGTTGTGAACTTAAATGAGTAATTGTGTGGACATTTTTAATCATGTAGGCTTGTTTTGAGAAAAACCGTGCCGGGGAAGAGAAGTTTTTTTTCTCGAAATTTGCCTGGGAAGGGAAGTTATTGAGACTTGAGTGTGTAATTGTGTAATTGTGTAAACATCTTCAATCATTTAGACGTGCTTTGAGAAAAACCATAAACACAGAGTGGGAAGTGTGTGCAAAGTGAACAATACCTAGATTATACTTTAGACATGGTCTTGTTGTATTGGATTTGTAAATTTTTTTTTTTTTTTTTTTTTTTTTTTAACCCTAGCAAGAAACAAGCCATACGGCATCTACAATAAGAATATCGGGCAGAGACGGAGGATCAAAAACAAAATAAACACCATACACGAAATCATCCCAAAAGGAGATAATCATGGCTCTGAATGCTTCAAATCTTTGTTGGTCCTGTCGTGACCTTCTTGATATTAAAGGGCTATGAGTTGTTAGGTCCGTCATGAGAGGTCTTCACTGGTTTTGTTTTTCTATGCAGAAGACCTAAACTCAATGAAACGCCCTGACCAACTCACGGACACTTCCGGTACATTCCACAGTGTCTAATATGCAAAACAAAAAAAGATGAAAATGCCCTAACAGAAAATCCTAGAATATAGAAAATGATGAAAATTGGAAACATTACATGTCATCGGTGGACAATATCAATGCGATCTGGGTGGGGTTGTAGCATTGGCCCCTGCCTTTGACCATCCTTTGTGCTACCTCAAACCAAAACGTATGTTATACTAATAGATTAAATTCAACTCCTTTTGCTTAGTGAAATGGTTGCAATGGATTTCCTAATTCAACACCTTGATTTTAGTTGTTGTAAAATGCTTTTAGATGCCTTGACTGATGCAACGTACCACACAGTATTCCTGTCAACCAATCCGTTTCGGATCGAATGGATTATTAAATTCGGATCTCTAACGGGTCGGATTATTAAATTCGGATCTATAACGGATTATTGATAGGGATGGCAATTTGACCCGCCCTGCGGTTACCCGCCCCGTTTTTGGTGGTTTTGGGGACCGTTTAGCTTATTTGGGAGGAAATGTTTTGATATAATAAAAATCAGCGTGGGTTTGGTGCGGGGGTGGGGGGAGGTCGCCCCGCACCGCCCTACCTCGCCCCGTTTAGATAGGCAAATCACTTAACTACCTTTATTTCCCCAGTATATATATTAAGTACCCTATATAACAGTATTAAAGTAACAAATAAATTTGATTAGAAAGGAAGTTGCAATGGTAAAAAACTGAAGATGAGGAGAAAAAAAGAGCAAATCTATATGAATAATAAATAAATTATGGTCTTAAACGGGGCGACGCCGGTACTTGCGGGGGTAAAAATGTTAAACGGTTGGGGGATAGGGTGAAAAGTCTCCTATTTTTGGGGTTTTGGGCGGGAACAGTGAGGGATTTTTAAACGGTTGCGGGGGCGGGGGAGAGTACACTCGACCAAACCCGCCCTCGTTGCTATCCCTAGTTATCGGATTGAATGTTTTAATCTATATCTTATTTAGCTCGGATTTGAATGCGGATTAAATCATATTCACTACCATGTATAGTTATAATTTAGATGGAGTAGAGAATTGTTAATGAGCAAATGCTAAGGACGGCGTCTGTGAATTAACAGTTGCTCTTCTCATTGGTCCTAAGATTTGTAATTAATGCATTTATTAATGGTATGTTTCCTATTTTTATGAAACACTAAAAATATATATTTTTTTGACAATACTACCCTTTTAGTCTCTCTCCTCACTTAAACCATATTATTCTACTTTTGATAGGACATTAAATTATTAAATTTAACCCAAAACTACCTTATTTCTTTCATTTGCCTCTACTTCCCCCGTGTGTATATATATGCACACACATATATAATAAGGATTCTTTTCTTTTCTTTTAGTTATTGTTTTTATTATTTTTTTTCTTATTGAGAGATAAGAATTCATTCCCTATATAAGAGATAAAGATGATTTAATTAGTAAAGGATAAAATTAGATGATAGCAATTGATACATACACACACACATATATATATATACACACATATATATATATATATAATTAAATTTTATAGAGAATGAATTCTTAACGACGACTGTGAAATTTAATTAAATTTCATTCTCTATCAAATTTAATTATATATATATATATATATATATATATATATATATATATATATATATCAATTGCTAACATCTAATTTTATCATTTACTAATTAGTCATCTTTATCTCTTATATAGAGAATGAATTCTTATCTCTCAATAAGAAAAATAAAATAAAATAAAAAATTTTATTCCTCAACTATCACTGTTAAACAATAACTAATAAATTTTATTCCTCAACTATCACTGTTAAACAATAACTAATAGAAAAGAAAAGAATCTATTGTTATATATGTGTGTGTATATATATAGACAACTATCACTGTTAAACAATAACTAAAAGAAAAGAATCCATTGTTATATATGTGTGTATACATGTGTGTGTGTAAACACATGGACGAAGGGGAGGAAAATAGAGGCAAATGAAAGAAATAAGTTGCTTTTGTGTTAAATTTAATAATTTAATGTCCTATTAATAATAGGAAACATGTAATGCATTAATGACACATTTGATATAGTTTAAATAAGGACTCAGAAGAGAGACTAAAAGGGTAATATTGTCAAAAATATATATATTTTTAGTGTTTCATAAAAATAAGAAACATACCATTAATAAATGCATTAATTATAAATCTTAGTACTAATGAGAAGAGGGACTGTTAATTCACAGTCGCCTTAGGGATTTTTCTCAGCATTGCTCGTTATTAATATATAAGATTATCTATAATATAAATATGCAATCAAAAGAATAAAGTGGTAGATAATTAATATATATAAATTTAATAGTTGATAATTAATGCATATAATATTCATATATAATATATTGTAATGTGTGTGTATATATATATATATAGATATAATTTTAATAGCATCCGATCATTATGAGAATATCTATAATATATTATCTAATTTGTTAAGGCAACAAATTATCGAATATTTGTTTTCAATCCATATTCGGATTTGGATCACAATCCCAGGTCTACCACACAAAGTGGCATAAAGTAACATGTTCTTGAAAAACCTCACTTGTGCAGATTTTTTTATTGCTCGGTCACAAAAATAAAAATAAAAATAAAAATAATAAAAAGAATCAGCTCAGTGGGCATAAATTTAAAGCATTCAGCAGCGAGTTGAAGTGTGCAGTTGGATGTTTATAACTTTATATTCTAATAATTTGTATGGTGTCACTATCGTTTTATTAAATATCAGACCTTTTTAAGAATGCTACATCATTGAAATAAATAATTTCTCACAAATAGACACACAAAATAATGCGGAGCAGATCTTTAATGTTAGTAAAGAACACAAAAAATGAAAAATTGAAGAGCTGATCTAACCCAAGAAAAACAAACATGAGCTTGCGTATGTGTGCATATATATATATATATATATAACACACAAGTAGCGTGTAAAATATTTACCTTATTTTAAATCCTCTCTTATACGAAGTACCATGTGATTAAAAGCACTGTCACATATGGAGTAGTAATTTAAATTTTCCAAATATTATATTAGTGAAATTTTAAAATAAATATGATAAAAGAGATATCCTGGAATCCAAGTCTTTTGTGTCATTTTATCTTTTAAAAAAAAAAAAAAAAAAAGTGTGTAAGTGGAGTGTATATTTCTTGTCAAATATATATATTTATATGACTTGAATTAAGTTGCATCATTTATGCAATGTTATTCATGTAATCTGTTATAATAGGGTGTAATGTATTACACTAGCAATACACTAGTGACATGAGAATATGGAAAATGTAGGGATGGCAGCTGAGGCGGTTTTGGGCAGGTGTATCATCTCCTGTCCTGTTCAAGAGTTCTCACCTGTCCTTATCCAAAACCGCTAAAATGGAATACCTTCCCATCTTATTCTTACCCTTATTTAACTTTTTCACCTGTGGTTACCCGCCTGCCCCGTTCTGTTTAGATTCGAGGGTATGGGGGTTCTTAGTTTGTAGGATTTTTTAGAAGATTAAAATTGTATAGAATGGAGCGAGAAAGTGAGTAAATGTGATATAAGATTTAGTACTAAGTATATATACTAATAAAAACAAGGATAGTTTTTTACACGTCTAACCGGCGTAGGGCGCGTAATGTCCTCCGCCACACCGCACCTAAGTAGGTTTTTACCCCCAAATAACTTAATCGGTCGGTATAAATGTGGCGAAATAGTATCCACTCCTACTGAACAAATTGTCACCCCCGTGTGAAATTCATTTTGACAAGGTATGGCAAAAGAGAAGAAGATTTTGATTATAAGAAGTGTAAAAAAAATTTGTTAGTTGTACCTAACTAACAAAATTTTGACTGACAAATACATAATATGGTTCGCGTACGTGTAAAAATCCCTTTTGATTCTAAGAAGTGTCGGTTAAACTTCTTGTCTTGGCCGAAACAGTCCGCAATTGAGCAGCGAAAATATAGAAAAGAATTTGACCCCAAAAAAAGCACAAAAAGCGATGGATCAAATTTTCAGTAGGTTGGTTCTCAAAGACCAATCAGGACCGTGTAATTCACATGCTAACAAAATCAACGGGCAGGCATGAAACTGTGGGCCCAGAAATCGCACAAAAAATCAAATCTAATTATTGACACGCAATAACTACTCCACACATATATATATATATACAGTATATATTTTTAACACTCCACGTATTTAGCAAACCAAAAAAAATCATAGTACGCGCCACCGTTGCTGACATATGGAATCCAACACATCACGAGCGCTTCGGACTCAATTCAATTCCATTCTTCTTCGTTTCCAAAAATCATTAATTAGTGTGTGACTGTGTGTTGGGTTGTTCTAAAATTGGGATTCTTACTGATTCGCTGGCTCTCATTAATTTTTGCTGGTGGAATCTGAATTTTGTTTCTATATATAGAGAGGATTTATAGAGAGAGAGTACGCTGGCTGTGACCCGCATATTTGAAGAGGAGACCACATTGCTCTTGCGAGGAGGGCAAGAGCTCGCCATGGGCCTTCAAAACGATGACTATGAGTCAGACCGTCGCAGGGTCCACTCTGATGATCAATTACGCGTTGAAGTTCCTGAAACTGCACATCAAATCAGCCAAGGTCTCTCTCCCTCTCACTTCCATTTCAACTTTTCATTATATATGTAGATATATGTATTTGAATATTCTTTTTCTTGGGTTGAGATTTTTTATTTTATTTTTTGTTTTGGTGGGTTTTTTATTGTAAGGTGAAAGATTTTTTTTTTTTTTTGGGATATATTTTTGAGATGCAGAATGAAAGGGTGGACTGGTTCTTTTAATGCCCCAAAAAACTATACATTGGTTGTTGCAATGTATGCATATGAAGTCATGTCGAAAGATTATCTGTTTTTTTTCTTGGCCCCAAATCATCGAAGCTTTGAAGTACAAATAGACTCCAAAATTTTTTCTTCTATCCCTTTTAAGAATTCTTATTATATAGTTCGGATATGAAAGTCTCTAATTTTTTTATCATCTTGGCTCCTTCCGGTTTAATGAAGAGTGGAAAAGAGTCTTATTGAATTGGGTAATATTTGATTGTTCAGTAATTAGTTTACTGTATGTCAACTGATTCTGAATTGGTCTAATATGAGTTTATTTCTCTTGTTTCGGAGATTACAGATTCATGGCTTCAAGTCGGTTTTGTCCTCACCAACGGTATCAACAGTGCTTATGTATTGGGGTATTCTGGGACGGTTATGGTTCCTCTCGGTTGGGTAGGTGGTGTAGTCGGTTTACTTTTAGCCACGGCGATATCGTTGTATGCAAATGCCCTTGTTGCTAGGCTCCACGAATTTGGGGGAAAGAGACATATTAGATACCGAGACCTTGCAGGATTTATATATGGTATGAACATAGAGAGAAACTGAAATTGGACACCTATTCTTTGAATCAATTTTGTTCCATTTGCTGCTTGACTGTTCAAATTTGTATGCTTTACTCCAACTGGATTTTTTGTTTAATGACATTTTGCTGTTGCAGGCCGGAAAGCTTATTCTCTTACATGGGCATTGCAATATGTAAATCTCTTCATGATTAACACTGGATTTATCATCTTGGCTGGTCAGGCTCTAAAGGTATAATCAATTCAAGCAATCCAGTTCTTTTTGATCCAACCATATCTACATGGACACATAAAAATTGTAGAGTTGCTCAAGGGTTTCTTGATTTCATTGTATCTATCAAGTTGATATGATTGTTGTTTTTTCACCTTTTTTTCTAAACTAGAGTTCTGCTTCTGGAAGAACTATCTCAAGAAATGTTCATTTATTATTGATATTTTGGATGCTTTGATCTTTTTCCATCATATTCAACATCAATTAGTGGTTAAAATACATAAAGATGAAAGTTTTAAAGGTTTCAACAAGTCGTTAGTGTGCTTCATCACTTAAAATTTGTTCTATGAGCCGGAACAAATAGGTGGATGTGACGACCTTGAAGACGTCCCAAGTTTTCTTTAATGAACTCATTAATTTGTGTACTTGCTATGCAGGCAACGTATGTTCTTTTCAGAGATGACCATGACATGAAGCTTCCATACTTTATTGGAATCACAGGGGTTCTATTTACCTTATTTGCCATCTCCATACCCCATTTATCAGCTTTAGGGGTATGGCTGGGATTGTCAACAATTTTCAGTCTGATATATATCGTCGTAGCAGTTGTGTTGTCAGTTCGAGATGGTACGATTGCTGTTATTCATTGTCTAATAAATTATGAAACTTATTTTAATTTATTTATTTAATGATGAAACTTATTTTGAATTATCGAAACATATGCAAGGTGTAACCAAGTGTCTGGGAGCGTCAGTTAAGAGTGGATGATGCATGTTAGATATGGACACAGAAGCATTTGTGCTTATTAGGAGCAAATTTTAGGGCAGTGTTTGACAAGTTAGTACCCAAGCAAGTGCTTTGCTTTTCCTAGGCGTCTAAGCTGTTCTGCAAGGACAAGCAATTGGGTACCAGGGTATTGTCAGGCTACCACATTATGAATATACATGTCTGAGATAAATTTTCATTGAAGTCGTCAACCAACAGAATATTAAACTTTTGATAAAACAAATAATCACTATTATAGAGAAATTCACACTTGGTTGTGGGATGACAGGAGATAAAAATAACTGAAATGATATATATATATATATATTAACAAAGCCTTACAAGGTAAATTTTACATTCTCAACCTTGCCAGGAGCCTCTGTTATGACCTGGGCTCTGATAAGAACCAATTTTCCTCCTGCAGAAACATTTATGTAGTACAAATGGACCTGCATAACCAAAACCCATGTCATAGACTCCAACAAAACAGTAAAAATGATCAGAAATAACATAGATAATCATGCACATATTTACTCTCTCTCTGAAGTTCTTATTTTGTCGATTTCTTTTTATGATTTTTGTAATGACTACAAAGTATTTTGTCTGACTTGAATGCAGTAGTGGACTACTATTTTTAGGAATTGCTAAAGTAAATTTTATTGTCAACTCTGTTATATTAGCCAACTTATTATCATTTGTTGGTCAAATAATGATACTCTTGCCGGAATTCCATCAGCCTTCATGATTTAATTTAACACAATGGTAAGCCACCTTCCAATTTCCATATTTGTTGGTGTGAGAAAACTATTTGAATCAGATCTCTTTTACTTGTAAAGACATTTTCAGTTTTTTAATTATGCACGTCAAATTATAAATGTTAAATGAATTAGTACATAATAAAATAACACATATAATGTCTGCCACTTCATGTGACATATGTTGGTGACCTGTCAGATGTCATGAGGTCCTAAGGATGGAATCTGGGCATCGACGGACCACAACCTATACAATAGGTGTTCCCAAAATATGGTATGGAATGTGTAATTCACCTGTTTCCATGAGGCCTTCATTAATCCGCATGCTTCACAATAAATTAGTGTTAACTCATTATCCTTAGCTTTCTTTTGTACACATGTTCTTGAAGACTGTTTTAAGATGATTTGCAGACGTTGGGATTATGTGTAATAATATAAATTACGTGGCAAGGACCACACTGCTTGCACCAGTCTTTCTCCCCTGGATTCAATTAGATCATCCTTGCTCTCTTTTAATTGTTAAGTTAGTGCTGCCAGCCGAGATAAATACTTCTCTGGTGTCAAATTTCACTAAAACTGTCTATATCATTGTAGGAATTGATGCTCCAGCCAGAGACTACAGCATCCCAGGCTCCAAGACGAGCAAGATCTTTACAACTATTGGTGCAGCTGCTAATCTTGTTTTTGCATTCAATACAGGAATGCTTCCTGAGATACAGGTAGGCAGAAATCCATGAATTTCTAATGATGATAAACATGTTCCATTGAATTTTCTCAGTAAATGAAGAATGATGCATGATTCTGATCCTGGGATTTTGTGTGAAATTATATATCTAGACATGTGAGACCCACTAAATTTTATTGAGAATATTATTTTTAGTCTTCTCCTCCCAGCACCTCATGTAGGCGGGATAGACACTGGGTAATGCACTTCTTTTTCTGTTAATAGTCTTTGAACTGTAATCTATTAGATGGCCATACTGTTTGGATCTGTTTGTTCTTTAAGAAAATGGCTGGAGGTATATGTGATTTCATGGGTATACGTAACGTTCATTTCTCTGGTTAAATAAAGATCTTTACTTCTGTATATCACCTTAAACTTAACCATAAAAGTCATTCAATTCAAACTCTAAACATTTACAAAGGTAACGAACCATGTGTATCTATCTTCTTTTCAATTCCTGAGGATTTTTCATATCAATGTTTCATACTAAAAAGGAATGCTAAATTCTTATTTTGTTAATTCACGTCTTTATTTAATATTTATGCACTTGGACAACGTAACAGTGAATGGCACTCCTCATGCTAAAAAATTCTCAATTTTAAGCTGGTCTTCAAAAGAGAATTTTATATATTATTACTAATATATAATCAATAAAGTTGGAACCCTACTAGTCTTCTTTGAATTTCCAAAAATAGATGAGGATGCCGGAGTTATTCTGGAGAACACATACTGCTTACAAAGTTACTTTCTTTCTTTCTTCTTTGAGTTTTTTTTTTCCCTTTCCCCACCCCCCCTCCTCTCTCTCTCTGCATTCACTGCTCACATTTTATTGTTTTATTTTTGTAATAGGCAACGGTGAAACAGCCAGTTGTTGAGAACATGATGAAAGGTCTTTACTTTCAGTTCACTGCCGGAGTTTTACCAATGTATGCTGTTACTTTTGTGGGGTACTGGGCCTATGGATCCAGCTCTTCATCCTATTTGCTCAACAATGTTAAAGGTCCAGTTTGGGTGAAGGCAACAGCCAATATTTCTGCCTTCTTGCAGACCGTCATTGCTCTACATGTACTTATCCTCATTCCTAACCTTAACAATTTTTTTTTTTTTTTTTAAATAATTTTAAGTCAGTAGTTTGTTCAAAATGTCTAAAGATCAGATCCTATCATGCTTTGTGTCATGCAAATTTATCTCCATTTGAGTTCTCCTTCATTCCTTATCTGAACTTCCTCTTGCTATGGACTATGGAGGACCAACCCTTTTTTTTAAAAAAAAAAAAATTCTGTGTAGTTTGGTAGGATGGATGTAGGAAAGACATGTAAATTGATGATTACATTTTTCTTCTGCATTCCTTCTTTCTCTTATGATCTGTTCGTTTCTACCAGATATATTTGACTAATTTCACATACATTTGCATGAACTGTTTTGATATCTTTTTCTTTTTGGGCGTGTGGCTTTGACAAAATGTCATGCAGGAAAAGAACAAATATGGTGGTGTATGCCACATCCCATCCTTCCCTCAAAATTATTCAGAGGAAAATAAAAATTTGTCTCTGAGATCCAAGAGGAACTTGACTGCTGAAAATTTGGGTATCCCTATACCAGCTTCTTGGCAATTTCAAGGAATAAATAACTAAATTCTTAGCTTTCATTGCATTTTCTTTTTGCTCCTTGTAATTGCTTAATTCATTACTGCTTGCTTTACTATAATATTACCCTTGATAAATGAGTCAGAAGATGTTAGACAATCTTTATTTTCTTTCATTGTCCTTCATGTTGCCTTTTTTTGTGCTTCATGCATGCTGTATCTTTAGATCATAGTGCAGTTTTACATTGGCTAGCCACCTGAAAATCACCATGATTGGATCGTTCTGATTTTTTATTTCCTTACCTCGTGTTGAGTCAAAATTCACAACTGTATAGCTTATGATATCCAGATTTATGTCAAGGCTTTCCATTAACCCTCTTTTTAAAAATGTTTTAAAGAATAGCTTTTAGAGTTTTCTATTGCTTTTTGTGTGCTTTGGAATTCTGGAGAGATCTCCTGGATTTAAACTTTTTCAAAATTAGTTCTTTTGTGATTCTTGCTATCCGCCTTCACCATTGTGTTCTGGAGTAAATCACTTGTATTACCAGAGTGATTGAGTTGTTTTGAAATACACTAATGGTGGGTGCTCTAATGAAGAAGTGCAAGAAACACAAAGGGAAATGTGATTGCTGAGGATATGGACCCTTCCAATGCTTACAAAAATCTCTTTTCTCCCTTTATTAATGAACTAACCTTCGAAGTTTCATGTGCTTCTTGTAGATATTTGCGAGTCCAATGTACGAGTACCTGGATACAAAGTTTGGCATTAAAGGAAGCGCATTGGCAATTCGCAACTTGTCGTTCAGAATTATGATGAGAGGCGGTTACCTAGCAATAAACACACTCTTGTCAGCTCTACTGCCGTTCCTCGGAGACTTCATGAGCCTCACGGGGGCTATCAGCACTTTCCCGCTTACATTTATCCTTGCAAACCACATGTACATGGTTGCTAAGAAGAACAAGCTGAATTCTGTACAGAAGCTCTGGCACTGGCTCAATGTCTGTGTCTTCGGTTGCATGTCCCTTGCAGCCGCAGTTGCAGCCTTGAGGCTTATTGCAGTAGACTCTAGAACTTATCATCTTTTTGCTGATTTGTGATGAATCTTGTATTTACTTTCAATTGGAAATGTATTATTTAGCCTATACATTGAAGCTTTTAGCATAGAAAGAAAATTTTCATACGTGTGTGTCTTTCTCTACTTCTATCCCTTCATCAGAAATTCGACTGCAGTCTATATATTCTCGGTAAACGCTGACTATTACATGAATGTTGGAACTAACTGTGGGATTTGAGGTATTCAATCTCATTATCTTAACACAACAATCACTTCACAGCTCAAAGGGTACCGGCAATATCAGTTCTTGGCAAGGAGCAAAAGAATCAGTTTTTGTTTGGGATGCACTGCTTAGGAGATGGTTTCAAGCTCGATAAATCTGTCAATGGCACTGCTGATTTGTTGGTCAGGTTTCAATACCAGAGCCCGAGTGGAAGGGTGTCTGTGTGAGTACATAACCAGTAAAGGCAAGTGCTTGCAAGCTACAAATCTGTTGTTTCAAGTTTCATTATCCCATGACAGCCTCTTTGAGAGCTTTAAAAACAGGTGGTTCATCAACTATAGAGGCTTGATTTCATCAGGCTATGCGTCTCATACTCTCATCTTGTATGTGATTTTTTTGCTTGAGCTACAACCGGCATTACCATGATAACAGAGGCAACATTCAGCAGCCATCCTCCAAACTTTTTCTTCAGAACTTCGTTACCCTTTAGAATGGTTCAACTTGAAAACCAGTAATACTTACCTCCTCAACTGTGAAGAGGAATTTGCTCCTCTACACCGCTGATCTAGTGTAATGATAGAATGATAAGGGTTTATTTTGAATTTAAAATGCATAAAGAAAAAAAATAAAAAAGATTTCTTTTTTTTCAGCAAAAAAAAGAATCTAGATCTACTTATATACTACCTAATATAATGATAAAGTGGTGGAATAATAACATTATATGATATAACAATCCTTTAAATATGGCTTACGGTTATCAACGGTAAGACGAATTTGAATGATATTTGTTGATTCTGAAGAAATGATTCTAAGCTAAAATTCAAGCAAATTTTTTTTATTTCTTTTTGGCAAAAATAAGGCAAATTTTATGCCATTTTTCCTTTTTATTTAAATACATCTATTGACTAAAAACTATTCTAGAAATTTAATTCATTTTTAATTTCTTTTAAGTTACTACTGCTGAATCATTCTTTATTCATTACTGTGCAAAGTTGTAAAGCACCCAAAACGACGTCCAATCTCTATGTGCATTTAAGTTATTTTATACTATTTCATCGTCTTTATTTTCTTTTGGGTAAATTACACTGACCTCCCTTGAGGTTCAGTCAAGTTACACTGACCTTCTCTCTTATTTGACAAATTACACTGACCTCTTTTCAAGTTTAAATTTTCATAACATAGAGTACCCCTCCATTAACTGCCGTTAAAGGTCAATACCTAGTTAATGTTAGTAATTGCTAATGTAAGTTTAAAGTTACTAAAGTACCCTTTTAGTTATTATGAAGACAAATTTGACCTTACTTTTTGAAGTAAAATTACTTAAAAACCTCCATGGTTGCCACTACATTGGAGCCTTTTGGGCTCTCTGTAATTTACTAAAATTCATTGGAGCCACTAGTACAAGCTCTCTCCACTCAACCTTTCAAAAAGAAAAACCTCTCTCGGTTAAGTAATTTTTATTGGATGATTCTTGTACTTCACTCTACATAATAAACAATTTTTTTTTTTAAAACTCACCATTGAGTTACTTCATTTTTCATGTGTTCTTTATTATGTAGAGTGGAATATAAGAATCATCCAATATCAACGCCATGGGAAAATAATTTTTTCGTTTGTAACCAAATGCAATTGAATTAATGATAAATAGAAGGTGGAGAGGATCTACTACAACCAAACCTCCAAGTATAAATAATCCAATTGATTATTTGGTGTGTTTGAGTTTCAGCACCAAATCTGGGTTTTTGTCACACCCATTTGCTCTCTTTCTTACCCTATTTGAATTATCTTCCTATTCCCTCTTTGTTGTCACTTATCGAACCCAAATATATATACACCAAATCAAACAAATATATTCTCCCCCTCTCTCTCCTCTTAAATTGTTTCTCATCAAACAAATATATTTAAGTATATATATATATATATCTCCTTCCAAATTATTTCGCTATAAATAATTTTATCTTTTCAATTTTCATTCTTTCGTAAATAAAATACAATAAATATAATGAGGATATATATGTAATTTTACTTGAACAGTTAACATCGTTCACTTGACAACTATAAAAGAGATTGGTGTAATTTGATAAATAAAAAAGGAGATCAGTTTATTTGACAAAACCTCAATGGAGGTCTTTGTAATTTTTCCTATTCTTTTCTCTTCACACACACGTAATATATATATATATATATATATATATATATATTTACACATTTTCCCTCTTTCGAAACCCCTGGAGAAGGCGGAATTGATTCGCACCTACAGATTTGACAAATTTTCAACAAAAGTTATCACAGCTCGTCTATAAAGAGAAACAAGCCTCGCACACACGGTAACGCTCGAGAGCACAGATCGAACGTGAGGGACAATTTCTTCTCAAACAAACTCATTATCAGGTGAGACGGTAATTTATCCCAGTTAGGTATTACAATTCAAATCCTACTTAACTTAGCTACAACATAATCAAATAAAATCGTCAATTCTATCTCTCCTTTGATTTTCTATTTTGCTTGATAATCTAAACTGAAATTGCCATTTTCACTAGTGGTTCAATTATGCATTCCTCTTCTTGATTAATGATGCTGTTCATTGACCTAAATCTGTATCCCTGGTATTCCCGGATTTTTCATTCGGTTGTAAGGCTCATTCATTTCCCAATCTGTTTGCAAAATTTGGGCTGTATTGAGTTTTGTTATTTGAACTGAGAATTGGTTGCTTCATTGTGACCTGGAGGTCACGTGTTTGAAACAAGGAATTAGTCTCTCTGCGTAAATCTGACCCTCGTGCACTGGGTTTGCCCTTATTTGAACTGAGACTGTCCACTTCAGTTCAGGCTAAAATTAAGGGGCTGATCTTGTGGAAAAAGCTTGGAATTTTTTTTTTTTCCTTGGGTTTTTCAATGCATTAGATTTTTTATTGTTAAAATGATGGATTACTCAAAATGAGATGAGTATGGTGCAAGAGAGAGAATGATAGCATCGACTCTATATTGTCTACAATTGTGTCTCTTACATATTTTCTTTAGTATTGCATTCCCTTGCTTTGAGTTCTTGTTTTGGAGAAATTTTACTGAAGATGTTTGTTGGTGGATATTAAGGAATGGCTAGAATCAGAGATAGAACTGAAGATTTCAAAGATGCTGTGCAGCGGGCAGCTTTATCTTTGGGATATAACGAGGTTTGTTAACTCGTTTGAATTTGTTTATTTCATAATCCATTCAACAATTTGTTTGGCTTAGTTTTGGAGATCTAGTGTATTTTTCTAAAGTAGGAGCTCACATTTAAGCTCAAATATCAAATGCATATTCTAAAGTGGAAGCTTGCATTAATTAGGAACCCTAAGTATGGTGTTGCGACTTGGGGATGTTGTCATTTATAGGAATAATGCATAAGCAGCCTCCCCACCCCACCCACACACACACAAACACACATAAATGTTGCAATTGTTTATATTGGTTTTAATTCTTGGACTCTTTTTCCTTTTATATTGTATCATGTGTATATTCAGAAATCAGTTCAAAATATTATCATTCATAAGAGTTAAATATTAATTAAACCACCAAATTCAAAATATATATATATATATATATTTTTTTAAAAAAATCCCAGAGTTTAATTTATCAGCTAAAATATTATCTATTGATCATATGAATATGTCTCACTGTTTACAAAAAAGAAGAAAAATGATAGATGGGTTTAGATTTTAGATGATTTTACGATTTTAGATCGGTTTAGATTTTAGATGATTTTACGATTTTGGAGTCCTAAATATCTATAAGACAGATTATGGAGCATCTCCATCATAATATACTATTGCCAGGTTATTCCCCTTTTTAACCATTAGATTGCAGGAGTGCAGAATTGGCGAATTCCTGAACGTGATTTCAACCTAAAACTTCTGTTCGTGTTACCAAATTGGTAAACTATGGCTTCTGAAAATGCAGCATATCTCTAATATTACTGTTGTAATTTTAATTGAAAGATTGTGTTCTTTATCAAGTGGTTCTTCGTATTTTTGTCAATCTTACAAGCTGTCTTTTTGTCAATTCTTACTGGCAACGAATTTCAGTGCTAAAATCTGACATCAGTAATTTGTTTGGTTTTGAAACAATTTTGAGGACATTACATGGATTTCAGGTTTAGTTTTGGTAGCGAATGTCTAATTTTGACCACTCCGTGGTGTGTGGTTCTACAGCTATGAACTGTTGTAGTGTTACACTGAATTTAAATGTACTATACTTATCTAAGGACTAGTGACAATCCATTTTGAAATAGATGGATGTGCGTGCAGTAATTATGATAGCATTTATGGTAGTCCTATTAAGAGTTTCAGCTTGTGTGTACATTAACATATTTTGTAAGCTTTGAAATTATTATCTTAATATATACTTAATTTTGTTAGCCTTGGAGTTCTCCTAATGTACTCATGGATTCTAATTCCTTATGTGAGGTGTTCAGTCCAAAATGGCAGTGATATTGGCATCTTTCATTATGCACAAACCTCGGCAAAGGTCATCTTTTACCAAAGCAGCATTGAAAACGGTATATGCACTATAACCACCATATGTACTTTTGCTTTTAGTTGATATGGTTTATACTCCTGGTTGTGTCATTCATTATCTTATAAACATGGTGACATGGGCTCTTAAGGAAGCATTTTAAGAAATTTTCTTTTCTGAAAAAGGGAAGTATTCAAGAGACATGTACAGTTTGCATCACCAAAATTAATTAATTTTTTCTTCAATTGCCAGCTTGAAAGCATCTATACTCTGGAACAGTTCTTGGTGAAACATAGGAAGGATTATGTTGATCTACACCGGACAACCGAACAGGAGAGAGATAGCATTGAGCATGAAGTAAGTACTGATACCTATCCTTAAAGACCACTGTGCAACCTAAAAGAAGTTACTAGTATATTTAAAGAGATATGATGTTGTAATATTAGTCTATATGTGGCTATTATGATTATTTAGACGTATTTTATTGGTGTACCCCCACCTCCCTTCCCTTTTTATTTTATTTTATTTATTTAATTTTTAACTTGTTTCTGCCTGGATTTTTTTTTTTGATAAGTAACTTGTTTCTGCCTGGATAAATTCTATATGATCAAAATACACTCACTAATTATGTAACTCTATGATTGAGCATGGTTTTGCTTGGATGGATTAGATGAAACAATGCACTTCGAAATTAGTATATGATAAAATGCATTGTTTCTTTTATTTATTGGCAATAAGAAGCTATATAACTTCACCTTGAACTGTAAATAAAATTACAGTGGTGAGGAAGATCACTGATATTATTATAATTGCATGATAATGGAGAACCATATTGTCTGGAAATGAAGTTTTAGAGAAAGGTAATGCATAATTCCTATAGAGAAGCTAGATTTAGGTGTTGCTTTTCTGGTAGCAGATTAGCTAGCTCGTTGGAGCTTCAATTACTCTGGAGAAATGGAAACCTTATGGAACTTACAAAACTGGATCCTATATTGAACCGATTTTTAAGTAGCCCAGTTTGGTTTAAGGCCCAATCATTTGTATATCAATAGTTTTTCTCCGAATCAGCAGTCAAATAGTTATAGCTCAATATGTAAGAAGGCCTTCAAGCATTTGAATTATTGAGCTTTGGGACTCATTGTTGAAATTTTAGTCCACTAATATATATTGTGTGTATTTTGTGAACATATACTGAAATCTTTTTCAGGTCTCTGCCATCAATTGTCTGATTTCTCATGGTTTCCATGTTGTTATATCTCTTATTAAATGTAGAATTTAAATGGTTTTTGTCACTTGCTACGGGGGATTCTGGTAACGAATAAAATTAGCCTGTTGAACATCCATTGTGCCTGTTTTACTTTTCAAAATTAGATGTGCTGTAGTTTAATTAACACTGTTTTATGTTATATGTTATTTTTGCATTGTATAAGTTGAATGGTGTTTTACCCATCCAAGTTTTCCCTTGCAAAGAAAAAATATGGTGCTGCAAGCTTGGATCACATATAATCCAATTTATGAAGTCTAGACTCTGTTATGTCCACAACTAAGTATATGCTGGAGTTTCTGTAAGTTCATCCACTATCTAAAATTTCATGGCAAATTCTTATGTAATACTTGCTCTCTCTCTCTCTCTCTGTTTTTTTTTTTGGGGGGGGGGGGGGGGGGGGGGGGGGGTGGTGGAATGGGTTTTTATTTGATGTTTAATGCATAGAACAATATATGTATATACATATAAATCCATCACATGATTGTATCAGACAAAGTTTACAACATTTTTATCTTGGAAGGTGAAATGGGCTGTGCATCTTTTAATAACAAAAATTATGTAGTGCACTTTGTAGGATTACTTTGCCAACATTTTTTTCACTATTTCTATGCAGGTTACTGTTTTTATTAAAGCCTGCAAAGAACAAATAGATATTCTCAAAACTGGTATAAATGACGAAGAAGCAAAATCAAAGGGCTGGCTTGGCATTGGGGGCGACAATTCTAATGCTGACACTGTAGCCCACAAACATGGCGTGGTAACACTGCAACTTCTTTTTCATATTGCAATTATATAGTATCTCAATTGAATTTGTCGCTGGTTTGGTTATGCGGTTTATGGCCGTTTGCTAAAACTTGATTGAATTAATTACTTTTGTATGTATTCGCAAACACACACACACATATAACTGAGTTTGATATAGGAAATTCAGTCTCTTATGTGATTTAGATAACTAGTTTTTTTCTTGGTTGTTATTGTGTAAACTTCAACCAAGGCAGTCCGCCGTCTATTTGTAGCTCAATTACTTGATGAATGCCTTGAGATTGGATTTTTTTTTTGAAGGTTACGGAAACTTTTGAAACAAACATATCATCATCAATCTGAGTCTTCTCTTAACCTACATGTTCAAAATGTAAGGCAACATAGTTTTGCACAATCTAAATATTGCATGCTCAACTATATCTGTCCCAACAATATGGGGTAGGTACCGTAGGTTTTTTCATTATTTTGCTTAATTTAAGGCCAATAATTTAGTTAAACCCCACACTGTTTAACTTTCGATGTGAATCTCATCACTCGTAGTCACCAGTGTAGTTATTATTCTCCAATGTGCATTAACTGATTTATAAAATACTGTCAATTTTAGAGGTATACATCAATCAAGGAACATGCACTCTATTTAATCTATCTTTTTTAATTCCATGAGCAATATATTTCTAATATTTCATTCCTTGTGTTGTGAATAATAGAGTCTATATAATGAAATTATTTGCTTTTAGTATCTCTTGATTCCTAATTTTTACTACATCCGCACTTGTATTCTTGATTTTTTAAAACTTACATTCTATTTTTTTTTAAATTTAGTCATACTTCTCTTAAAAACCTTTGGATTCTAGAGCTTCTTTGTGGACTTCCAATTTAGCTTTGTCAGTGCTTTAGGTTTCATCAATTAAAAATAACTATGAGTGATATAACATATATCATAAAACTTGATCCAGCATGTCTTGTTGGTCCATCCATATATCTGACAAAAAGATATGGGTTTTATGTTGATTATTGATGTAAGATTACAATACTTGAAAATTCACTTGGTTCTCCTATGTAGTTATTGTAATCAAAGATCCATAGTCCATGTTTTTCATCATGTAAATAAATCTATGTCTCGTTTCTTTTCTAAAATAAACCAAATTAATTTTTTAGAATTCTATCATATGTTTTTTTTGACAAATCTATGTAACCATATGAGGATCCTTCTTAAATTTTCCATATCTATCCATTATTAGTCTCCTTAGAAATTAAATTGCTTCCATTTTTTACTTACTCTCATAAATTCAAATTGTTTATAAGAATGAGTTTTTTTAGCATGACATTAATTATAGACCACTATAATTTGTACACTTTTGAACATCCCTCTTATTTTAATATAAAGATATTAAATATTTCTCCACTGGTTAGGCATTTCTTGTTATTATGATCTTATTAAATATTTTTGTTAGCTAAGGCACATTATAATCTCCTAAACACTTCCAAGTCTCAATAAATGCATATGATCCTAAAGTTCTTGTTTTCATTTTCTTTCTATGCTTTGTTCACCTTGCGCACTGATTCTACAAAAACTCAAAAAGTTTGGGGTGAGTGATAAAAATCTGTTACAAAAATGATAGAATGACAAATTCATTGTTATATATATATATATATATATATATATATATATATGTATATGTTACTAACAGTTAAAGCCTTGGTCTTCCACTCTCATTCTCACAAGCTAGGCTGCGTTGTTTGATTATAGAACGCTTGATGTCTTGATAGAACATAATGTTATGAAAAGAATCACATTAGGTCCTCAACAATGTACCTATTTGATCTATTCTGTCGTTACAATTCTTGACTGGGATTGTACTGTGATTTCTTCTTGATTGGATGCCTCTAAATGTGTTACAATAGTAGTTCTACGCAGAAACTAAGAAAAGAGACAAACTAGAGGAAGTTGAGAGAAAATAGAGGGCCTTTTAATTGCAAAGAGTAACATAAATTGAGAAAATTTAATGAACAGGAGAAGGAATTACTTATATGAAGATTGGATTATGCAAGTGATGCAAGAATATTCAAGCATAGAAAGGTCATTTTTCCGATATCCCTGTCCTTGGCTTGATTTAATTTGTTTTAGTTCATTATAAAGGCTTCTTGTTGGTATCTTGTCTTTTATTTTAATATGCTCGGATTATGTGTGTTTTTAAACCTAAAACAATTTGTTAATCACGTGAGTCACTTAACTTGGGGGTAATGAAGTCTTTCCTCCATCAAGGCGGCACTAGGTTCTTGGATGTAATGGTGTTTTAATTATTTTGTGTTGGAAGGAGAGATGTTCTTGGTTCTATTGGAACCTTGTAATCATACACCTTCTAAGCTATGGTTTTCTTTGTTATTTTTCTGTTACTCGATGTATTTCTCTGAATAGTAATTATTCTTGCTGAGTTCCCTATGTTACGTGTCCTTTGGGTAAAGTTTGGACAGAAGCATTTTTGGTTTGCTTTCTGATCTGAGGGAGGTGATACAACATCAAGATATTGGTGTCTTTGTGCAAGACATTCCTTTCTCCATTTAGATTTTATATTTGGGAGAGATGAGTAGCATTCTATTTTGAATATTGTTTTCATGTGTTTGTGCATAACCATTTTTTCTGAATTGCAGGTTTTGATTTTAAGTGAAAAACTTCACGCAGTCACATCACAGTTTGACCAGCTTAGAGCCATACGCTTCCAAGATGCTATTAGTAAAGCAATACCAAGAAGAAAATTGAAGCGGGGTGCCACATCAAATTCTACGGATATTTCTAAAACTAACAATTTGGAGCTCAGGGAGCCTGACCAATCAGAGCTCAGGGAGACTGGTGAGGTCCAACCTGAGCCTTTAAGAGCCCAACAGCAGCTTCTGGACGATGAAACACGTGTCCTCCAGGTAATATACATATGGCTTCTGATTTTTGTACAACTGTCTTTACACGTTGTTCAGACTGGATCCACGTAAAAAAATAAATCCCCTTGCTGCTGTTTTAATGCAGGTGGAGTTGACTAGTCTTCTAGATGCTGTTCAAGAGACTGAAACAAAGATGGTTGAAATGTCTGCATTGAATCACCTCATGTCCACACATGTTTTGCAACAAGCTCAACAGATAGAGCTTTTGTATGAGCAGGTCAGAACATCTGCGTTCATATTTATGGCTTTTAGTATTATATAAGCTTCAGATAGAAATTTTTATCTTCTGGAAAAATTAAGGGAAAATAATGCAATTTTGTTTGAAAGTAAGCCAATTTTCCAACACCAAGGTTTCTTATGCATCTACTGGGGCTGGGCTGGGCTGGCAACTCTAATCATAACTTATCATTGTTTCCCTAATTTCATGTAAAATGTGTTGAAATCAACTGGCAAGTCAAATACCGCCAAACAACAGATCAGGGTCAAATCACACGTAGTCGTCAACATTAATGTGCAAAGTTATCTTTTATATTATTTTTATCTTTCTGGCAGATCCTCGTCAATATATCAGTCTTTCTTGATGCTTCAGTTTTTACAAAGCAATCCTTACACCCTTTTCATTGACAGGCGGTTGAAGCTACAATGAATGTAGAGCTTGGTAACAAGGAGCTGAGCCAGGCTATCCAACGGAATAGCAGTAGCAGGACTTTTCTTTTGCTTTTCCTATTTGTACTTACTTTTTCAATCCTCTTTCTTGATTGGTATAATTGATTGAAGGAAGATCACAAATAGTTTCAAAATTTGAGCACATTGTATTCTGTACTCTCTTTTTCCTTTTTCTTTTCAAGTTCTCTTGTTTTGTCTAATTAAGAAAACCTACCAAAGCCACTTAAATTCTTTTAACAAATGTGGTTATGGGGGTTGGGGAAAATTTGAAATTATTATGCCCTCGTAAGGTTATTTTGTTTCCAAAGAAAGCTCAAGATGTCATCTAGTTTTTGTTGGCTTTTTGTTTAGGTTGAAGTTGTAATGGTTGTTTTGGTCGAGTCATCTAGGATACTTTGCTGGGTTGAAGTTGTGATGGTTGTTTTGGGTGTGTCTGCCTTTTGTTTGGGTTGTTCTGATACTTTCTTACAATCTGCAATACGGTGATTCACTTTGAAAAAAAAAATATCCAGTTGCCAAAAACAATGAAATTCAAAGACCCCTCCTCTAAAAACTTCAAGCTTGCTAGTGGGAGAGAACTTGACGAGGCACATATCAGTTGGTATTATGAACAGTGTTACATTAGTATGAGATGTAGTAGAACTCTGTGATTACATCATGTAAACTTTGTAAACGTACACTCAAAGAATAAGAATAATAAGAAGAACGTAAAAAAGTAAGTTTAGAAAATGTCTAGCCTTTCAATTCAATTCAGATGTTTAACTATTGACCTTCTTGTTGTTGGTTGTTTTAGGCTTTGTCACATATGCAACCAGGGTAAGGGTTTGCATAGAAAGTCTCTTCATGTTTTGCAAGATGCTTTGGAGGAGGAGGCATGACTACTAGTCTACGTTGTGGTCCTCCAGTCCTATTCGCATGTAAGCCTTCAACCTTTGAAGAAAATGCTTCCCAGGATAAGTTGCCCTCGTCCATTCTATCGATCCATTTTACAAAATTTTGACTACAACAATTTATAACATGTCAAGTTGTTAGTTCAATGTTGATCAAAGTGACTAAAATGAAATTCATATGACACTTACTAGTCAGGGTTGATGGTTTTTCGAAACCCTTCAAAGATCCTATGACCACGCACCGCCTTAGCCATGTAACCATTATAGGTGTACATAAAAATATCACTCTCAACAGCGAGAATGTAGTCCAATGCAGCTAGCTGATTGTGGTACTGCTTGAAAGGTTTCAACTCCTCTTCTGTTGCTAGACTGGAATGGTATAGTACATTAGGATACTTGTACTGCAGTGCTTTGAGACCTTCTTGTCCATAAATTTCCCCAGCCGCAATGTAAATTTTGGTAGAGAAAGGGATCCCGATTGCCTCAAGAAACACAGCAGCCTCCCTAGGAGTCATGGGGCACACCCCTTGCCGCCTCCTCTCCGCGCTATTTATCCGTTTTTCCTTCCAGTGCTTTACCCCATCCCGGAATTCCTGCAGCTCCTCAGCCTCCGACGAGGTCAAATTGTGATTGCAACCGGTAAAAGCAAGCATGTCCTTTTCATATCTACAATCGTGATCTGTATAGTCAGTGAAACTAAAACAAACAAACAAACGAAAAAAAAAAAAAGAGCTACCCGTGCATGAGTAATTAAGATAAATACCTCAAATGCAAAGCAACATATACTTCCCCTTCTTTCTTGAGTCTGTCTACCATCTTCTTTCCAAGTTCTTCTATCTCCTTTCTAAAACGAAGAGCCCCATACATTGTTCGACACCTCAGCCTTTGGATTGAAGGGACAACGTTATTAGCCAAACGAGAATCAGTGTGGCTAAACTCTATCACATTGTGTCGTTTTAATAACGGTAGGACACGTGCTTTATAATAACTGGGCTGTATAGAAAATTACATATCGATTAGAAGCCATTTATCTTTAATTTAAACATTCTAATTATATACAAACCTTCGACCAAGAGACCGGGGCCATGCAGAAGGAATCCATAGATGCAAATTCTGGAGGAAGAGTCTCTACTACTTCAATATCATCCTTTAGAGCTTCCTTAAAGTGCTCCCAATCAAATATGTCTTTAAATTCACTGATACAATTAATTTCAACAAACAACTTAATTCGATTTTTCGGTATAATTACGTGTGTTTATGTGTGCTAAAACCAGTGTGACTGAAAATCCATACCTAGGGTCACTCCAAAAGGATTTATGATCTAATTTAGGAAGAACCAAGGTTGCTTTCATTATCTTTGCAATGGCAACCATATCACTTATCTGTAAGACACAGCAAAACCAGTTGAGAAGCAATAAAAAAAAGTACCAAGTGACAAAACAAACACTATTAGTTGCTTACCCCAGTTTTCATTTGATTTAATCCTCCATTAGCATTAATCTGAATATAGCCATTTGTAGAAGATTCGTTCCCTGCCAAAATAAATAAATAAATATGGAATTGCACAATTTTGCGAGTATAAGGAATTAACAATGGTACACATACTTGTATCTTTACTTGATCGTTGAATGCATTTATAGTGATCGCTTGTGTCATTGCTCCAACTCTGTCTAGTCTGACAAACAAAAATCAAATGAAAAAGGTGATCACTTTATTATTTGCTTCCACTTGAGCTTCTATGTTGCAACAGAATACCCAAATTTATAGACTATAAAAAGGGGGAAGGGGGGATCTGAAAAAAATCAAATGAAAAAAAATAAATAAATAAAAATAAAAATGATAGATTCAGAGTTAGAAAATTCCTTACGAATGACTTAAAAAAAATAAAAAGAGAGAAAAATGAACATCAATCTATTATATAAAAAAAATGTTCGGAAATCAAATGAAAATAAAAAGGTACATTAAGAAAGAAGAGGAAAAATCCTTATGAATGGAACATCAATCTATCATATAAGAAAATGTTAATGGTTTATATTTATTGAGAAAAGAACCTAATAATCCTATCGGATCTGCAACTAATATGGTATTTCATACGCAAGTCATCTTTCTAGTCTAAATTTTCTTATGAATGACTTGTAGGAAAAAAAGAACAAGAATGAAAAGGAAAAATCCTTATGAATGGAACAAAAATGTATGATATAAGAAAATGTTAGTGATTTATATTTATTGAGAAAAGAATCAATAATCCTATCTGAGTACATGATTGAATCTACAGTTAATCTGGTATATTTCAATTTTCAACTCCCAAGGTAAACAGCCGTTGGAGACCTATCTCATACATAAGCACTTACTAATTACTTTCCTTAAAAATTAACAATAATAAAATATAAGTTATAAACAACACCATTTAAGAAATACTCTTGTAAATAGTTTTTTAATTAGTTAGACTTACCAGAAAATATATCATATATAAGAAAATGTTCGTGCTAATCTTGTATCCCATACACAAATCATCTTTCAACTCCCAACGTAAACAGAGTTGTTTTATTATTTGAAAGGAGGGGGGAATCAAATGAAAAAAAAAAACAAAAAAAAAAAAAGTAGATTAAGAGTTAGAAATTTCCTTATATGACTTAAAAAAATAAATAAATAAAAATAAATAAAAAATCCTTATGAATGACATGAGTTATATTTGTTGAGGCTACATAACCAATAATCCAAGGCACTACTCATCTTGTTAGTAAAAATTATCCTTTGTCCAGAGACACTCATAAATTACTTCCCTTAAAAATTAACAATAATAAAATACAGGCTATAAACAACACCATTTGAGAAATAAATAATTTTAAAAATTGGTAGAATAAGAGTTAGAAATTTATGAATGGGACATCAATATATCATATATTAGTGAGTTTTATTTGTTGAGAGAAAAAATTCCACTACAGAACCCAATAACCCCTTGGAGACCATAGGCACTACTCATCTTGTCAGTGAAAAATACCCTTTGTCCAAAGGCACTAACTAATTTCTTCCTTTAAAAATTAACAGTAATAATAATAAAATAAAGGCTATGAACAACACCATTTGGGAAATAAGAAAGAACTAATTATTATCTGTTAGACTTAACAGAAAATATATTATTATTATTATTTAGCAAGCCACCAGCCACCATAGAATGGTGTTGCTTCAAATATGGCCAGATTAGTACTCCTTACCTATACCACACCTAAATATGGTGATTAAAAATGGAACACATACCAAAAACAGATTTTAATACTTTACAACCAATTGGTAGAATATGATTTTTCATAAGGTAACAAAATTATGTCACTTTTATTGCACATAAGAGTATCTCCAACCGTTGTGTATATTTTTTTTTTTTTGTAAATCTGATGTGTCATGATAAATTTACACAAAATTTTTTGATTATTTAATTTTAACTCCAACGGTTGTTTTATACTTTTTGTGTAAAAATATATCTTCCAATGACAATCAACCATGTGTCATGCCAGGACCCCACATAACTTTTATAAACCTACTTAATATATGGTTGATTTTTTAATGGAATGAGAGAGAGGGATGAGAAATGAAATATGTTGATCTGGTAGTGTAAAAATGTTATATAAAATACATAACTCTTTCACACATTGGTGATATGGTAATGTATTTTAACAGATTGTTGGAGATGGAAAAAATTCACACATCATAGGTGGTAGTGTATATCGCTCGAGATGCTCTAAGGTTATTAAATATAACTAATTATATATATATATATATATATATATATATATATATATATATAGTGGCGATCAACTGCTTCTTAGTGTCATTTTTAATCATTTTTATATTTTAGGAAACTTTTTATTTTATTTTATTTATTATTATCATTATATATAAGTAGTGATACTCACACCGAATACTTGCAGTGAATTGTCTATTTAAATAATTTTTGATTGACTATTTATACCAAATACAACTAAGTGAAGAGCTCCACTTTCTTATTTGTTGTATAATTGACTAATTAAAAGAGCAGGACAATTCACTGTTGTAACTATTCAGTGCAAGAATCATTTTCCTATATATTATTAACCGAAAATGACAAAACTAGATATATTTTTAATGAAAATAAACTAAAATCAAATCGATTAGGATTTTCTTCTATATTGTTTGCTGTTACTTCCAAAAACAAAAAATATATATATAGACACACACACACAAAATATATATATATCGAGAGTTATTCAAATACTTATAAAATTACTTAAATTAAGTGTGTTTTATATATATAGAGAGAGTTATTCAAATACTTATAAAAATAGTTAAATTAAGTATGTTTGAGAGATGAATTGAAATGATGAATAGAACATAGATATATTCGAGGATGGTAATTTATTCTTACCAAATATTTATAATTTATAAATATTTTTTAGATTTTAGTGCAAATTTAGTCTCAATAATATATTCAAATATTTACCAAAAAAAACCAAAAAAAAAAAAACAAAGAAAAGGAAGATCAATAAATTCATTTAGCACAAAAAAGAATCAAAGAACTAAACTACACTGTAAAAATAATCAAGAAACAGTCAAAGTCTTATAGCGAAGGCATCTAAACTATAATTTATAACTATTTTTCACAAAACCCATAAAATAGTTGTTCTTGCCCATGAAAATTATTTATAACTATTTTTCATAAAACCCATAAAATAGCATTTCTTGCCCGTCTCAATTATATATTCAAATATTTACCAAAAAAAAAAAAGCAAAGAAAATGAAAATCAACTAAACTACACTGTAAAAATCAAGAAACAGTAAAAGTCTTATGGAGAGGGCATCTAAACTATTATTTATAACTATTTTTCACAAAAACCATAAAATAGCAGTTCTTGCCCCCATGAAAATTATTTAAGAAAAATAAAAATTCATATCCATGAATCAATGTCTAAGAAAGTCTAAAAAAATAAAAATATTAGGTTCATATCAGAAATCACTTTAAGAAAGATTTAAATACCTCTTCTTGCATTACCCTCTCCAGACCACTCGTATCACCACTCATACGATGTACATCAATGTTGCTTATTATCAGCAACGCGGAGAGCACCACCAACAACATCAGTGCTCCCACATAATGGCGTATCTGCCATAACCGCCCCCAACCACCCACCGTAGGACGGCGATGGTGGAGGTGGTTGGCTAAGGCTTTCCTCCTCGTCCCACTCCCGTGTGCCGGAATCATGTCATGAAAGAGAGAAGCTGGCGGTTTGTGGTGGTTGTAATGAAGCGATGGTGCAAACAACTTACTATTCCATTCAATTTCTTGCTACCCACCTGCACAATGACAACCGCAATGTCACGTCTTCGCTCTCTATTTTCACTCTTTCGATTCTTCAGTAACAAGGACTCCCACGAGTCTATCAAAAAAGAGTTTTATATGTACTAGAGTACATTATATGCAAAAAAAAAAAAAAAAAAAAAAAAAAAAAAATTCCATAAGATCCGAACGAGACGTCCTATCCAAACCTATCCCATTAATATAACCTTTTTCCGAACTCGCCTAGCCATGTATTAGAGTCTCCATATTTTTTTAACAAAAAAATTTAAATTTTAACAAAATTTATATTTAACTATCATAATAAAAAAAAATTATTAAAATTTAAAATTAATATTAAAAAAAGGAAATAAAAATTAAATTATAGTAACTAATAAGAAATATTTAATTTTATATTTATTATTAATAGAAACGGTGAGTTCGCGAATTTAAACTATTTTCCTAACCCCAAACCAATCGCAATAGGTGCCATTGGGCCGACCTTATTTGAGATACCGATTCATATTTAAGTTTTAGGCCAAAAGGCCCATATTGCTGCCAAGGCCCAACATGTGGTCTTAGTCTCCTTTACCCAAATTCACGATATAAATACAAAACGAAGAATGAAGCAAATTTTTAGGGTTTTAGGATTCATATTTGCAGGCGTCTCTGGTATTCTGAGCACCCAACCCTCCAGCGAAAATGGTCAAGGGACGTCAAGGAGAGCGTGTCAGGTCTGCATCAATTTTCTCTCTATATATATACACATTCATATAGATATATATATGTATAGGTTTATGTATGTAGATACAATACACAGCTGAATTTCAGAGTAATTTCGTGTTCATTTGCAGACTCTACGTTAGAGGAACTGTTCTCGGTTACAAGAGGTAATATTATATATGAATCTCAGTAAATTAAGTTTCTTTATGGTGCGATTAGTGGAGTGCTTATTGTTGTATGATGATTGGGATTAGGTCGAAGTCGAATCAGTACCCAAGCACGTCGCTGGTTCAGATCGAGGGCGTGAACACGAAGGAGGAGGTGGCATGGTACCTCGGGAAGCGCATGGCGTACATCTACAAGGCGAAAGTGAAGAAGGACGGATCGCACTATCGATGCATTTGGGGAAAGGTCACTAGGCCTCACGGTAACACTGGTGTTGTTAGAGCCAAGTTCAAGTCCAACCTACCTCCTAAATCCATGGTATATACTGATTCAAATTTTAAATTTGATGATTTATATGTGTTTGTGGCTCTGTGTGAGTGAGGTATTGCGTTTTAATGTGTGAATTTGGTCTTGTTTTTGCAGGGAGCTAGAGTTAGGGTTTTCATGTATCCAAGCAATATGTGAGGTATAAATTTCCTGGTGATTGTTGTTTTTGAAATTTTGAATATGGTTCATTTTTAATTGACTACAACTAAACTAGTTGGATGCTTTAGTACGTAAAATATATGTGAATTGCTAATAAACACAAGATATACGATACTTGGGTATACATAGGCTGTTGGATTAAAACTTAAGCATTATATTGATCCTTCTTTGTTTAGAATCCTATGGTTTGTGGTTCATAACTGGTTCGTTTTTGATGTGTGTTCTTTAAATTTTTTTCCCAAGAAAAAATAGGATAAATATTAGGTATAAAATTTCCAATGATTAATTCATTCAAGTTTTGTAGATTACTTTCTGATAGGGCTGGTAGGTAGATTTCGAGGGTTGGAAGATTGTATCAAAATCCTGTTTAATCTGGATAGAACAAAGAGGTAAACATTCGACATTTAAGATGCCTCAGGAATAGAGATTGTGTGCTGTAAATTACTAGGTCTTTGAAGACATTTCTGCAATAATTAATTGGCATACCATACTTCACATAATGCCTAATCAGTATCAAACCTTAAGTCATTGTCACTAGGTATTATAAATCATTTTGAGCAATATGTTTTTCTCTTATAGTTTTAATAGTCTGGTTGTGAAATTTACTGTTCTTGGTACATTAGTTTGTCTGTGTATGTTGTTTTTTGGTTATTATATGGGGTTTTGCCCAGTGATAAAATGTTATGTTTCTTGTGCTGATATGCCTGAGACATTTATAATGAAATTTTGATTCTTCAGTTGCCAGTTGATGTTATATGTAAAAGCATTTTCTTATCAAGTTTTAGATTTTTTGGTTGTTATTTTATTTTTTTCCCCTTTCATGTTGCAGTTTCTCCGGAGGTGAAGGTTTCAAATTGAGGTCATTGGTTACTTAGGAGGGTTTGAACACAAGATCAAGTCCATTAGTGATCAAAGGGATCTGTATTTTTCTTAAAAGTGTTTAGAGGTTTCAAGTGTCTCGTGCCTTTTGGGATACATTAGTACTTTATTCTGCTATCATTTGTTTGAAAGAAGGATAGACTATTAAATTGAATGCGACTAATTTTAGACCTTTGCTTGATTTTCTGCACTACTATTTTGCTCTTTGAAATGTGATCATTGATTACCCCAAATCAGACTTCCATATGATTTTTACTCATTTTGTATGAAAGAAAATTCATCTGCTTTTTATTATTGTTTAAAGAGTATCTTGCTGACGCCATTAAATCTTTTGGTCCACTGAGATGCGTTGTTTCTGGTGTTCTCAGTATGGATTTACATGGCTACTTACTGACCAGCTTAGGCAGTCTACGAATGGAGTTAACCTAACTGTAAATTTGCAGTGCTTCCCTCCATTAGAGAATCGAGGTTCAGGGGAGTGGTCTTGAACTGGGGAAGCCTGAAATAGGTTGTTCGGACATTTTAAGTGAAATGCAAATATGTTTCATTGACAATTTAGGCTCGATCATTACTTTGGAAAGATAGAACTCCGAGATATAGATGATTGATCATATCTTAAATTTAACTCATAAAATTTGTTAGTTCCAAAAAATAATGTCTGTGTGGGTTGGTCCCCATGTCTGAAAGCCCGAGCCTTGCATCCTCTCCCAATTCCCCTAATAACTGACTTCTTAACATTCTTACCTTAAATTTCATCACGCCTCTTCAGGTTTGACCACAAGTTTGACCAAATATCAAACATCTTTACAGTTTTCGTTAAAAATATGTAAAAAGACAATTTTGCTCATAAATACCATTTGACTTGATCAAAAGTGTTCTCTAATCTTAAAAAAATATTAAATAAAAAAATTACAATACCCTTAATCTATGAATATATCTTATATTTACACCGAGCAGGAACGAACTTTTGCTCATTGGATCGCCGGAGTGCGAAGGTTGTTCTTTCAATCGTTCTAGCTGTCCTCACGCAATAGATCCAACGAAAGCCTCTCCTCCCTCCCTCACCATCGCCGGTGCCACCGAATCTCCAGTTTTGCTAATCAAAGTAGTACTTCCAAATAAAATGGTTATTTTTGTTTTCTACTGTAGCTCAAAAAAGCAAAGTCATATTTTTTTGCTTTCTTTCTTTCTGCTCAGTGTCATAAGCCTATTTCTCTTTATTTCCTCTTTCTTGTTTTACACGAAGACTAGGTCCTTTACATATATCCGTCGTGAGACATGAAAAATGCATGCTATGGTGGATTAAGATTTATAGTATTCACTTCTATAATCGTTTTCCTTTTAAGCATAAGAGATTTATGATATTAAGGCGGCATCAGCTTCAACGAAATGATGGAAGTTCCTCTTTTCTCCCATTGAAGAAAGTCGCTGTCAAACTTAATTGAAAAAAATAATAATAATAAAAAAAGAAAAAAAAAAAGAAAAGAAAAGAAAAGGACACTGCTTACGTCTTCACTAGTGAAATTTACAATATACTCACCATTGATGTAGATCAATAATAAATGGGCAAGTCCTATTTTAATTACTAATTCTTAAATAGTAATTAAATTACTATCTCTGATTTGATAATTGAATATACATGTCTATTTATTAGCCATGACTATATTGTAAATCCCTAAATATTATCCAAAATATATATATATATATATATATATATATATATATATATATATAAGAGAGGGAGAGGACAATGTTAACTATTTTTTGGAGGAAAAAGAAAGATAATAATACATTAATAATAGAAAGTCTTTGTCATGTGAGTCTTGTTTGAAAGAGATAATTATAAAAATAAAATTAAAAATAAAAACATTTGTTTCATTTGGTTTTTTTGAGTGTTAATAATAATACGAAAATTCACTTGTTAGAAAAAAATAAAATGGATAATCACAAACTCTCTGTACGAATTATATCACTCATTTTACTCTCACTTTTAAAAGGGATAATGAATAAAACATTATTATACAAATCAATTAAATACTAATTTTTAATTTAAAATATCCAAATCTTCAAATGACAAAATTACCCTTATTAATCTCAATTTTATCTCGCTATCCTCTCTCTCATTGAAAACCCAGAAATTTTGCTCCCAAAACCACCACCACCACCACCACCACTTCCACCATTGCCACCTCCACCAAAAAACGAAACAAAGAAATTGCAAATGGGTTTAGTGAGAGTTATTGCATACTATTATTATTATTATTATTTTTATAAGTAATAATTAATGTTTTCTTTGTGCCTATCCAAGGTGTTTCTTCAATTTTGTGGGCAAAAAAAATATATATATATTTCTTGGAAGAACGAACAAGGGCAATAGTGATGAGAGAGTGGAGGCGGTGCCGGCTTTCGTCGAAGCATCCGTTCTGATAGCTGTATGGAGATTTTCTCTCTCTAAAATTGTCCCTCTCCAATTTATACCTCTTTATTCTCTCAACTGCCTATTTATTACTATTGGAAATAGTGGCCTAGTTACACACACAACACTATACTATTTGGAAGAGAATAGAAATGGAGGAAAATACTTTTTATTTCACTTGATTGAAAATGAGTACAATGCATGGGTTTATATAAGTTTCAAAACATAAATGTAAATGAAAAATTTAAACCCTACTAACATATCATTTAGTAGGCAAAACTCACACTAACCCACTAACATGACCATTTAGTAGGCAAAACCCCACTAACCCACTAATATGACCATTTACTAGTTATAACTCTCATGCCCTCCACTAACTCCAGTAAAAAACTCACATAAATATAAAATACCAAATAAAATAAAGTTTAATTTCTAACACCCCCCTTTAAACTTGATTTTTTTTCAACTCCAAGCAAACCTGTAACTTGTAAAAATCTGCAAACTTGAGGGGCTTGGTGAAAATATCCGCAACTTGATCTTGTGACTTGATGAACTTGAGCTCCACCTCCTTCTTGGTTATGCATTCTCTAATGAAATGAAATCTTGTATCAATATGCTTGCTTCGTTCATGAAACACAGGATTCTTGGCCAAATTAATTGCTGATTTGTTGTCTACAAAAATCTCCATTGACTCTTCTTGTAGCATTTGTAATTCCTTCAACAAATTCATCAACCAAATTGCTTGACAAACACATGAAGTGGCTGCAACATATTCTACTTCACAAGTTGAGAGGGTGACAATGGGTTGTTTCTTTGAACACCATGTAAAAGCAACATTTCCGATGTAAAAACAATAGCCAGAAGTACTTTTTCTATCATCCAAATCTCCGGCCTAATCACTATCAGAATAACTCACAAGTTTGAAATCATTTGTAAATGAATAGAATAACCCAGAATCAAAGGTACCTTTGATGTAACGAATAATCCTCTTAGCCGCCTTGAAATGAGTTATGGTGGGTCTTTCCATAAATCGACTAACAAGCCCAACCACAAATAATATGTCCGGCCTTGTGTATGTTAAGTATCTCAAGCTTCCAACAAGACTTTTGAAAAATGTTGGATCCACTGTCTCTCCATCTTCATCTCTTGACAATTTAATTCCAACTTCCATGGGCGTGTTCACCAATTTACAATCTTCCATTTGAATTTCTTGAGAATTTCCTTAGCATAGCCTTCTTGGTGAATGAACATTCCATCCTTCATTTGCTTGACCTCAATGCTAAGATAATAAGCCATGATGCCAATATCTGTCATTTCGAACTCTCGAGCCATAACCTTCTTGAAATCTTCAAACATTTTTGGATTGCTACCTGTGAAGATTAAATCATCCACATACATACAAACAAAAAATACATCTCCATTCTCACTTACCTTGGAGTAAAGAGCATGTTCATATGGGTACTTTGAAAAATTGTTGTCTTGAAAATATTTGCCAATTCGCTTATTCCACGCCCTTGGTGCTTGCTTCAAGCCATATAAAGCCTTCTTTAATTTCAAGACTCTATTTTCTTGCCTCTTTACAACATAGCCCATGGGTTATTGAACATACACCTCTTCTTCAAGAAACCCATTCAAGAAAGTCGATTTCACATCCATTTGGTGGATTCTCCAATTGTTCCGGGCTGCCAAAGAAATTAACAATCTAATTGTTTCCAACCGAACTACGGGTGCAAATACCTCATCATAGTCAATCCCGGGCTTTTGGTTGTACCCCTTGGCGACCAATCTTGCTTTATATTTTTCAACTTCACCATTTGCATTCTTCTTTGCTTTATACACCCATTTGACACCAATTACCTTTTGCTCTTTTGGAAGTGTAGCAAGCTCCCATGTGTTATTCTTCTCTATGGATTTAATTTCTTCATCCATAGCATTTCTCCATTTTTTGTCTTGTGCCGCCTCTTCAAATCCTACGGGTTCATAATCCGCAAAGAGACAAAAAAGTGTTAGATCACCTAACATTTCTGTTACCTCATCTGTTTCGTCATATATGTCACGAAGACTCCTCGTGCGAAGTGGTGGTGTGTCACTTGAATTTGATGATGATGGAGTTGATTGGTCTTGAATTGATGGTAGTGGAGGTGATGTTGGTGGAGAAATGGGCTGCTCCATGCCTTCATTTTCTTGCTCCTCATCAGAAATTGGAAAAATATTATAATTTTCATTTGGAGTGTTCCAATCCCATGTGGCTTCCTCTTCGAATTCAACATCTCTACTAATGACAATCTTCCCATTGCTTAGATTGTACAACTTGTACCTTTAGAATTTGCATCATAGCCAATGAACACCATTTTTTCACTTTTGTTGTCTAGCTTGGTCCTCCTTTCATCCGGCACGTGCACATGGGCAATGCTTCCAAAAACCCACAAATAAGAGACATTTGGCTTTCTTCCGCTCCATGTTTCTTGTGGTGTTTTGTTTTGCATACTTCTAGTAGGACACCGATTGGACAAGTACACAGTACAATCAACTGCTTCAGCCCAAAATTCTTTAGGCATTTCCTTGCTTTTCAACATGCTTCGAGCTATATTGAGAATGGTTCTATTCTTCCTTTCTGCAACTCCATTTTGTTAAGGCGATCTCGGAACCGTTAAAGGATGGTGAATTCCATTTTCTTCACAAAATTTTTTGAAATTATTTGATGTGAATTCACCACCTCTATAAGATCGAAGAGCCTTTACATCATAGCCACTTTGTTTTTCAACAAGTGTTTTAAATTTCTTAAAAATTTCATACACCTCCGATTTTTGTTTAAGAAAATACACCCATGTGTTTCGGCTAAAATCATCAATGAATAATAAAAAATAATTATTCTTACCAAATGATGATGGAGAAATTGGACCACAAACATCCGAATGGATAAGTTGTAGTGGCGCTGTAGCTCTTGTGATAGCTTCTTTAGGAAAAAATTTCCTTGATTGCTTTCCAACGAGACATCCTTCACATAATTGATTTGGATTGTTAATGAAAGGCAATCCCTTCACCATCTTCTTTTTGGCCAACAACTCTAATCCTCCAAAATTCAAGTGCCCAAGTCTCAAGTGTCAAAGCCAAGTTAAATCATTCACACAAGCCTTCAAACATTTAGCCTCGTCGGCTTGAATATTTAGCAAAAACATCTGGTTCTTTGTCATTGGAACCTTGGCAATCAAATTACCTAATGGGTCTCTTATCGAAAGACTACAATCCTTCATGGAAATATTGTAGCCTTTTTCTAAAAGTTGTCCCAAACTCAAAATATTGTTCTTCATATTAGGCACATAATAAACATTAGAGATAAATTGATGATGCCCATTCCTCAAACGAATCAATATTTTACCTTTCCCTCTTACCGGAATTTGTGATAAGTCTCCAAATGTCACCTTGCCATTTATTGATTCATCAATATCAACGAACTTCTCTTTGCTACCACACATATGGTTGCTAGCACCGGTGTCAAAATACCACACATCTTCTTGATCACTCATTTCACCTTTGTATGCCAACAACAAAGTAGGCTCCACTTCTTCATCAACATAATTAGCCTTTTCTTCAACATCGTTAGCAACATTTCTACATTCCGAAGCATATTGACCATACTTTTGACAATTATAACATTGAATTTGAGACTTATCATACCTCCTTCCATATGACCTTGAGTAATTTCCTCTACCACGACCTCTTATTTGTTGTGAGTCATGGATTTTTTCTTCACTGTTGGTTGTGTGTTGACCGCTTTTTTTTCCTCTTCCATGGCCTCTTCCTCTTCCTCGGCCACGTGCATTTCCATGTCCTCGGCCCCTTTGATTTCTTCCATGTTTTTCGTCTCTTTCATTCAACGAAAACTTTGTTTGTAGCACTTGCTCCAAAGCTTCTTGTTTCTTCACCACCTTTTCTTCATAAGTTTGCAACGAACCCATGAGTTGATCAACAGTCATGGAATCCAAATCCTTTGACTCTTCAATGGCTACAACAATGTAGTTGAATTTGGAATCCAACGACTGAAGGATCTTTGCAACGACCCTTGTATCAGTCATGGTGGTTTCGCCATATCTTCTTAGTTGATTTACAATAGCCAAGACCCTCGAAAAATAATCTGAAATTGATTTAGATTCCTTCATATGCAATGCTTCAAATTCGCCCCGTAACGTTTGGAGGCGAACCTTCTTCACTTTATCAACTCCTTAGAAGGAATTTTGAAGAATCTCCCATAGTTGCTTTGCATTTTCTGCACTAGCAACTCTTTGTAGCATTCCATCATCCAAACATTGATGGATGGTCATCACCGCCTTTTGGTCCTTTTTTCTCATGGCTTGTAAAACATCTTTTTCGGCTTGAGACAAAGTTGTCTCATCTTCTGGCTCATCATAACCTTTGGAAACAACTTCCCACACATCTTGTGCTCCCAAAATTGCCTTCATGCAGATACACCAATTTTCATATTTATCTTTGGTGAATCGAGGCATTTGAAATGGAACCGAATTGTTTGCCATTTCTTCTCTCTCACACAAACTAGCTCTGATACCACTTTGTTGGAAATAGTGGCCTAGTTACACATACAACACTATACTATTTGAAAGAGAATAAAAATGGAGGAAAACACTTTTTATTTCACTTGATTGAAAATGAGTACAATGCATGGGTTTATATAGACTTCAAAACATAAATGTAAATGAAAAATTAAAACCCCACTAACATATCATTTAGTAAACAAAACCCCCACTAACATGACCATTTACTAGTTGTAATTCTCATACCCCCCACTAACTCCAATAAAAAAACTCACATAAATATAAAATACCAAATAAAATAAAGTTTAATTTCTAACAATTACAAGAAAAATGTCATGTTTAATCTCTCCCTTCTTTCAATGCTTCAGAAAATTAAATATTACTGATGGAGTACTATTTTTTCTAAGCTCACAAATAACCCACACATTTGATCTCAAAACACTGAATCTTAATTTTTATTTTAGAGAACGAACAAGGGCAAGGAGAACTTGGCTGTGATCTGCGACCGGCGATGAGAGCGATGGCGAGCTCGGCCGGTGGATGTGGACCGGTGAGACAAATCCAGCGAGGGAGGTGAAGCTCGGCTGTGGTTGAGGAGAAGTGGTGGCGGCAGCTGTAGTTGAGAAGTGGTGGCGGTATAAGGAGTGAGATGATGGCAGCGATTGTGGGATGTGGTTGGGGAGACACGGCGACGGCGACGGCGGATCAAGATGGCAGCGGCGGATATGGATGGGGCGGTGAGATTGTGGAAGTGGAGAGAGGTGGTGGACGTTGCAGTGGAGAGAGCGTGGAAGTTGTGGTGGTGTAAGACGGTAGGTGGGTGGCGACGGTGCTGCGATGCTTTTCTATTGACTTAGTTATATATATATATATTTATATATGATGGTGCTGGTGTAATAATGTATATATATATAAGGGCAAAATTGACTTTTCATAAGTTCTGATATTTTACCATAAAAATGAATTAAACATTAGAGGGTAATCTCGTCTTTTAAGATTTAAGATGCCTCAGGAATGGAGATTGTGTGCTGTAATTTCCCAATTACTAGGCCTTTGAAGACATTTCTACAATACTTGATTGGCATACCATACTTAACATAATGCCTAATCAGTATCAAACCTTAAATCATCGTTACTAGGTATTATATTATAAATCATTTGGACCAATATGTTTTTCTCTTATAGTTTTAATAGTCTGGTTGTGAAATTTACTGTTCTTGGTACATTAATTTGTCTGTATATGTTGTTTTTGGTTATTATATGGTGAAATTTTTCTATGGGGCTTTGCGTTATGTTTCTTGTGCTGATATGCCCGAGACATTTATAATGAAATTTTGATTCTTCAGTTTCCAGTTCTGTTATATGTAAAAGCATTTTCTTATCAAGTTTCAGATTCTTTGGTTGTAATTTTATTTTTTATCGCAGTTTCTCCGGAGGTGAAGGTTTCAAATTGAGGTCATTGGTTACTTGGGGACTTTGAACACCGGATCAAGTCCATTAGTGATCAAAGGGATTTGCATTTTTCTTATAGTGTTTAGAGGTTTCAAGTGTCTCGTGGCTTTTGTGGTACACTAGTACTTTATTATGCTATCATTTGTTTGGAAGGAGGATAGACCATTAAATTGAATGCGACTAATTTTAGACATTTGATTGATTTTCTGCACCTTTTTTGCTCTTTTAAGCGTGATCAGACTTCCATATGATTTTTACTAATTTTGTATGAAAGAAAATTCGTCTGCTTTTTAATATTGTTTAAAGACTATCTTGCTGATACTATTAAATCTTTTGGTCCACTGAGATGTGTTCTTTCTAGTGTTCTTAGTAAGGATTTACATAGCTACTTACTGACCAGTTTAGGTAGTCTAAGAACTGAGTTAACCTAACTGTAAATTTGCAGTGCTTCCCTCCATTAGAGAATCGTCAGGAGTGGTCTTGAACTGGGGAGGCCTGAAATAGATTGTCAAGTGAAATGTAAATATGTTTCATTGACAATTTAGGCTCGATTAGAATAGAATTCATTTGCTAAGCGATCATTACATTGGAAGGTAATGAAAAAGATAGTGTTTAGTTTGTCCCTAAGAGCCCCATTGGCATGCATTTTGCTTCTATAGTTTTTTGCCGCTATAGTGTCGATTTTGGCAACAAAAGTATATTTGGTGCGGTTTAGTTTTATTTTACATAGTGCTAAAACACTTTGTGAACAATAGTCCATAATTAATACACCAAAAAGTTATTTTTTCTTGTTTTGACAACTATTCATGACCCAAAATCTTATTTTGCATGTTTTTATTTTCCGACATTTTCACAGCAAAATATCGTTTCCAAACGTACTTTCGATTTATTTTCAAAATATTCTTACAGCAAAAATATTATTTCTTTTTTAGTCAAAAACAAAATGTCTAAAACAAATCACATGTCAAATGGACCCTTAGGGACAAACTTGTGGCGGTTATCGAAATGTATGTTACTTTTAATGCAGCATTTGAGTTATGGTTGATTTTTGGGACATGAAAATGCATGCTATGGTGGATTAAGGTAATCTAATTTACAGTTTAAAGCTTATTGTGGCTGTCAAAAAGTAGATGTTTTGGCTGGGTAAAAGAACGTTATTTTGGTGCCATACTACGGATTAGGGCATCAAACAGGGTAGTTACTAATGGCGTGGACTTTTTGGCAAATGGCATATAGATGATTAATCATATCTTAATTTTAACTCCTAAAATTAGAGACCTACTTTGTTAGATTCATGCTATTCACTTTTATAATGGTTTTCCTTTTAAGCCTAATAGATTTCTGATGTCAAGGCTTCAACGAAAAAGTTGGTGTCAGACTTAAGCGAACCAAAAAACAAATATGAGAGAGGACAATGTCAACAATTTTTGGAGGAAAAAGAAAGATAGTCTTTGTCTTGTGACTCTGGTATGAAAGAGATAATTATAAAAAATAAAAATAAAAATAAAAACATTTGTTTCATTTTGCTTTTGAGTGTTAATAATAATACGAAAATTCACTTGTTAGAAAATGGATAATCACAAACTCTCTGTACGATTATATCACTCATTTTACTGTCAATTTTTAAAAGGGATAATGAATCAAATAAGATTTATACAAATCATCTTCTTTTTCTCTATATTTTTAGAAGAAACATAAGGGTTGGGGTGGGGAACAGGCGCAGTCCTATCCACCCCCACTGATTTTTTTTTTTTTTTTTTTTTTTATAAATTTTATAAAAAATTTAAAATGTTCTTATTTTTTAATAAAAATTTTAAAAATATCCCTACTTAAGTTCATCGGGCATGTCATGTAAAATAACTTGTCGAAAATTGATAGATAAATTATTTTTGTTAAATTATAATATTTTTTTTCTTCATAAATATTTTAGAACAACCAAATATCAAAAAATATTTTAAAAAAAATATTTTATGTCCAAACAAATAAACCTAAATATATCTTTTTTTAGAGTGGAGGTTGGCCTTTCACTCCTGCCTTAAGGATTAAGGAAGGGTGCCACTCGATGCGAGAAAACTAAAGGATTTATTCTTTGAGTTCGACTATACTTTTCCTTTCCCTTTATTTTTCCACACATTCAATATCCTGATAGCCTTTTTCTTTTTCTGTTAACCTTTAATAATTAATATAAAAATAAAATAATGTTCCCACCAACCTTCACTTTAAAAACCACTAAGTATCTTTTACCAGCCAGTGCCATCTTGTCACATTTCTGTTTCAACAAATGTTTGTGAAATAATGAATGCCGACCCGCGGTGATTGTAATTATTTTACCTTTCGAATATATATATATATATATATATAATATTTATTTATTTATTTTTAGATATATTTTAAGTAAAATTTATATTTATGTGTTTAAGTGAATTTTATTTATTTTTAGATAAAAGTACTTTCATCAAAGTTTTCAGCTTAACTTAGACTTATATTATATAATTTAAATATATATTCAAAACATGGTTCGCCGTATAGTTTGATTCGTAATTTTTTTTAAGAATCGATTTCGTTAAATACATTCATAAATTGATCAGTTTATACCAATATTAGTCTAAATCCGATATACTGCAATCACAACTGTTCTCGCGATAAACCAAGATCCGAAAAGATAAAAGCATTTTCATAACCTTTTAAGTTTAACTCGGAGTAACAGTGCTCTCTCTTCTTTCTTTCTTTTATATTTTTTTAATAAAAAATGAAATGTTTTTATAAAAAGTAAAAAAAATTCATTGGTTAGAATACTACATTCCAATTACCTGTGACGTAGATGGAGTAATTGTTTACGAAGGACAAGCTCAATTATGCGAGAGGCAGCTTTTTCAATCGCTTCCTTGAGCGACCCCCACTTACTCATTGTACCAAAAATATAATATACCGAATTAAGCGTCTCTTTTTTAAAATTGTGACTCACAATCGTTTTAACTTGATGTCTGTCTTTGAATAAAAATGAGTTACAATTCTTAAAGACAACACTTAATTTGGAATATAGGGAGTATATTGATTCCAAACATGTTCGGACT